CTGGTCTGGACCTGCCAGCTTCCTCGTCTCCGTCACGGAGGGGTTTGCCAACGTCCAGACGGCGTCACGGCCGCCACAGTAATGACTGTAGCCGACTCTGACGGGGTGAATTGTAGGCATGTTTCAGCCACGTATTTATGATTCTAGAGTACAAAGGATCCAGCTTTGGTTGTAATCTCTCAGAGGGATCCTTTGTCTGATGGTTTTAACATTTCTCGTTTCTATCCTGGACTGTCTTTGTAAACCTGTGTTTGGGTCAAATATCAGTGTTGCTGCATTTGCTCTCATCTGCCCTTTGTGTTGCTGCACTAATGTCCTGTTGTTCACTTTATTGTCTTTTTATAGACGTTTTGTACTATTTGAAAGCTCCTCATAAACTCATTTTGCACAACAGGAAGCGCCTTCAAACTATGGTTTTATTGCCGTCTTGCATTATGATGACAATAAAGCTTCTAATCTCAGAACTCACGTAAAACTGAGCTCTGTAAAATATTTTAGGCTGAATCTGAGAATAATGTGTTTGTATTTTCACCTGTTTTACCTGTGAAGCTATTTTGAGGGTTCAATATCTCCAGAAATTTAACTCTCTCAGACATGAAACCTGGTGAAGACACAGACAGATCAGTTTCCAGCAGATCCAAGTGATTGAATGACTTCAGCAGGGACCAGGTTTTGAACATATTGGTCCTTGAAAATGGGGGGAAAAGTGCATTTTTATGCAGGGTTGGCGTGGGGCCCTAGAAAGTTTCTGTAAGCGTAGATATACGATGCTTCACAAATGTACTAGACCTCCAGCCAATGTGAGGTTTATGTCACAGCTGCCCTAAATTAACAGCAAATTAACAGCAAAATAATTTCTTATGTTTCTGTGATGGTCAATACACCAGTATGTAGAAGCTCTTTAAACAAAATGATATTTTTAATGCTAACATATAATTATGATGCTTTACAACAGAAAAAATATTAAAGGATGTTATTATTTCTTGACTAAGATGTCAAATTATAGTAATTTGCTTGCATTCCTGAACAGAAACATTAGTTTTCGTGGTTAAATGTTAGCTTGATTTAATTCCTGACTTCTCAGAGAAGCCCAGTGGCTCAAAATTGGGGATAAAAAAGGTGAATTCAGTTTGAAACAGTGCTTAACAAATTAAACGGGTGGTCTTATACATTAGTTAAGCACTGTATATATAGAAGTATCCATGTTTCCTACTAAAAGTACAGACTTCAGTCGACATCTCACCAACTTTTAAGGCCTCCAGCATCAGTAGGATTCAATATGTGTAAAGTGTGGTGAGACAAGGTTTGTTTTTTTGCTTTATCGTACGAACCAACAGCAACTCTTAGCACATGAGTTCATTCTTTTCTCATTTGGGGAAACTATGTGCATTATTTAGACTAATTAGAATCAACTTTATTGGCTGAGTATGTTCACACAAACGAGGAACTGGACGCGAGCATTCAAACAGAGGCAGAAGGCTAAAGAAAGGAATGTTTAACCTCTATGTGCAGCTACAGACGTGTGTAAAAAAGCATGTTTAAAGTAAAGCAGAAGTTTGATTCTGATGATAGTAATAAATACAGTTATTAGCAATAAATACAGAGTTATTGACGCTTTATATTCACATGCTGGAATGAAGTGTTGACAGGTAGCTCTCACTTGTCTGATGAACTAATAACCTTTAATTAAAAGATGAAAAAGAGNTTTCTATCCTGGACTGTCTTTGTAAACCTGTGTTTGGGTCAGAAATCAGTGTTGCTGCTTTTGCTGTCATCTGCTCTTTGTGTTGCTACACTAATGTCCTGTTGTTCACTTTTTAAGGATGTCAGAGAATGTCTTTTTATAGACGTTTTGTACTATTTGAAAGCTCCTCATAAACTCATTTTGCACAACAGGGCGCGCCTTCAAAATGTAGTTTTATTGCCGTCTTGCATTATAATGGCAATAAAGCTTCTAATCTCAGAACTCACATAAAACTGAGTTCTGTAAAATATTTGAGGCTGAATTCTGAGAATAATGTGTTTGTATTTTCACCTGTTTTACCTGTGAAGCCGTTTTGAGGGTTCAATATCTCCAGAAATTTAACTCCCACAGACATGAAACCTGGTGAGGACACAGACAGATCAGTTTCCAGCAGATCCAAGTGAGTGAATGACTCCATCAGGGACCAGGTTTTGATTATATTGGTCATTGAAAATGGGGGGGAAAGTGCATTTTTAAGCAGGGTTGGCGTCGGGACGTCAGTGTATATATACAGTGCTTAACAAATGTATTAGACCTCCACCAAACGTAAGGTTTATGCCACGGCGGCTCTAAATTAACAGCATTGATAATTTCCAAAATCTTTGTTTATGTTCCTGTAATGGCTAATACACCAGTATGTAGAATTATTGAAACTGATGATAGATCTGAGGCTGTGCATCAACATATTGTCCAAATTCTGTTCTAGTTAATTGCATTTTAAGTTGTATTGTCACTATGTAGTCTGACGCTGGTAGACTGGTCTTCTTCAACCTTTCATGTACAATATAATGTGACAGTTAAACAAGCCAGTTTACTGTACGATGAATGCATAGTCATCTTCTGAACCAGCAGCAACACTTCAGAATCAGAATCCACTTTATTGGCTGAGTACGTGCACACAAACGAGGAATTAGACGCGTGCATTCAAACAGAGGCAGAAGTCTAAAGAAAGGAGTGTTTAACTGCAGCTAAGACGTGTGTAAAAGAGCCTGTTTAAAGTAAAGCAAAAGTTTGATTCTGATGATAGTGATAAATACAGTTACCAGCAATAAATACAGAGTTACTGACGCTTTATATTCACATGCTGGAATGAAGTATTGACAGGTGTCTATTACTTGTCTGATGAATGAATAATCTTTAATTGAAAGATGAAAAAGAGAATCTTCAGTTCAGATTTACTGCCTCAATCAGATGCAATAAGCCAAGCTGCAGCTGATGCATGAATCGTGTACAATCCTTATAAATGTGACAAACAAAACGGTGATTTTAAGGATGTTTATAGTGAAGCTGAAGATCTTGAATGCTGAAGCTGTTTCTGTTGTTTTGGTGTTTGGAGCTCCTACCAGAGAGCAGAGAACTTGGTCCAGATTATGTGCTGGGTGTGATGGATCTGCAGCTTGTTTTGTTACTCTGGACGTGTCTAAGTCCTGGATGGAAGGACAGTAACAGCAACAGTGGCTTTCTCTGCAGCCCTGATCGTCCATCTCTTCTATTTGATCCAAACCAAACAGTAGTTCTCAGGTGTAGAGATTTTGTCCAGCTGTTATCGTGAACGCTGATGTTCTTTGTGAACAAAACGATATTGAATAAATAATTCTGTTGGAAGTCAAAGACCTAACAGGAAACAGATAGATGAATATTCATGCAATAGGATGATAGAAATAACACACCTGGAGGTCTCATGTCTGATTCCAGTGTTAATCCTGCATATAGAGACCTTTATGCATTGAGCCAAATAAAGCAGCTATTTGCAGACTTTAGCTGATTTATTCGAGCCACAGACTACAAGCATTGTCCAGGAATATGTTGTGCAGCAAAAAAAAACAGATGAGTTTTCTCTGCTGCTGCGGTCGGACATTCAGAGCAAACGGGGTCCAGGACATCCTCTGAATAACAGAATGAGAAAAGCCATTTTTAGACCCCTCATCCCTTCGTCTCCATAACAACTAAAGAGCAGCCAGGACTGACTAATGGTCGGAAGAAAGATGGAGGGATGGAGGAAGAAGTCGGGGATGAAGTGTGACAGCAGAGGGAGGGACTGGAGTTTAAAAAAAAAGAAGAGGGAAGTAGAAAAACAACCAAAAAAAAAAAAAGAGTGTTGGTGAAGTGATGGGATGAAAATAGAAAAATCCAAAGGGGGTAGTTAGAGGTGTGAAACTCACGGGGATAATTTTATTTCTGTATTTGCGTCGACGATGGGGAGCTATTTTAATCGCTCTCTCGTCTCGTTCTTTCGTCCTCCTCCCTCCCTTTCTCTCTATCTTTTTTTCTTCTTCTTCTTCCTTCTCATAATTAAATTGGATGACACTCTTTGTCTGCTAACACTACAGACAGGACTAATTCTCACCGCTCCTTCACAGAAATGTAATTGGATCTGTGTAGCTGGATTTCTAGCCGCGCCATAATCGAGTACGCAATCACCGCCGAGCAAATTACTGCACAGAAAGGGCGTTTCTTTACCGTTGTGTTGCTCCACTGATCAGTTAGAAAGCCGTCTTTTCTCTGTGTGTTGTTAGTCCTCAGGTGTGACTTAAAATCTGGTTTCAATGCTGGAAGTAGTCAAGTTGAGTTGTGAATCTGTGACTTTAAAGTCTTGAAATAAACCCCAAAACATCTCCAGATGTTTGTCCTCACCTCCCTTCTCCTCTGGCTCTGTAGGCATCCAGGTGAAAGGGGAATAAATGGTCAGTGCAAGATGGAAAAGAAACCTGAGCATAATTGGGAGGGAGGTGGAGAAAACAGGTAGAGGACGAACAGAAAAGGGACGGAGAGCCAAGAGTGACGACGCAGAGGAGAAGGGAAGCAGGAGGGCAGACTAATGAGGGAGATCTGTTTTCCTTTCTCATCATTCTGAGGGCGAAAGGCCGCGGAGGTGTGTTCAGAGAGAAGCAGAGGAGACAAAACAAGACTAACAGAGTAAAACAAAAAACTGTTGAAGGACTCCGATAAAGAGTGTCCATGTGTTTGTCCGTGAGCAGCCTCAGGCCTTCCCTCCCTGGAGCTGCCGTCTTTGTTCTCCTCCTAAACAGCGGTTGTCACAGCCGTCCTCCCACATGTGGAGAAACATCCAAAACACCCTCCTGCTGCAGACCCTCACATTTGATATCTGCAGCCGTCCATAAGGTGGCTTCATTGTGTTTACGAGTGTCCCTTTATTTTTTTATTTTTCTCCCCCACGCGGCTTATAAAGCGTGAAATCGTGGCTTCTGTTGTGTCTTGTGTGTGTGTGGGATGACGTGTGCGCTTGTGTGTTCAGGATCCTGGCTGCAGCGGGGGCGCACATGAACATCTCGGTGGACCTGAGGACTCTGAGGGCGGTCCGAGTGCTGCGACCCCTCAAACTGGTGTCAGGAATCCCCAGTGAGTAGCAGGAACGCTGCAGCGTGTCCCAGTAGCTTTGCAAACACAGAGCATTTATGATGAAGAAGGTTGAAGGAGAAGTTTAACCACATGACAAAAAGAGAAAAATCTACTCTGTGGCTCCAGAAAGTGTCCATGAAGACGGATACGGTTGTTTTTATTTAGAATCACTACATTTTTAAATTTTTGTAGAGTCTGGTTGGACAAATTGGTTCATTTTTGGCAGATTTTTAAATGAGTTTATGATGATTTTGTTGTAATATGATCATTTTAAGCTGACTTTTGGTTATTTGTAGCAGCAGAACAGCAAATTACCAAAAAGAAAAAAAGAGAATCTGCAAATATTTGAGTTTTATTGTAGTGTGTGGCTCTGATGAATGGTGCCACTTTACAGATCTTTCAAGGCAGCATGATTTCAAACCCACTGGAGAGTTTTGTGGTTAAGACGGTGGATGAAATGACAAAAACAAAAAACATACGTGTCCATTAAGATTTTTATTTAGAGTTAATACATTTTTTGATTCTTATGTAACGAAAGAGACAAAACTGTTGATTTTTGGCAAAATGTTTAATAAAGTTATAATGACTTTGATGAAATGTCATAATTAGAAGCGTAGATTTGGTTCAGCTTTATATATAAAACAGATGCTGAATCAGTGTGGACTTCCAGATGTTTAGATTTTTCCAGAATCTGGATCAACAGTTTTATATGACTGCTGCCTATTGATTGGCTTCCTTTACTGATGTGTTTTGCAGCACCCAGTGATTAGTGTCAGGCTAAATAATATGTTTGTTGTTTAGTAAGACAAAAACAGGTTCCAGCCAGACTTTTCTACAACTCAAGTGACATCTTCAGCATTCAATTCACTTTCTGAGACAACTAGAAGATATTCACGAGATGAGGTTTAAATTTTCTGAGCTTCTGCTGAGTGTGTGTTTTCCCGTCACCTCCTCCTCTTTGTGTCCTACCTGCAGGTCTGCAGATCGTCCTGAAGTCCATCATGAAGGCCATGGTTCCTCTGCTGCAGATTGGTCTGCTGCTGTTCTTTGCCATCCTCATGTTCGCCATCATCGGCCTGGAGTTCTACAGCGGCAAACTGCACTACACCTGCTTCCCACAGCCGGGGATCCTGGGTACGAACACGCTGACATCTCACCTGTGATGCTGTTTTGTTCCCAGTCTAGTGTGTGCAGTGAAGCTTGTAGTGCACAAACAGACATACGACTCTATAGGAAGTAGGGAGTTTTATTGCACATATATTCACTCTACAGTCATTCTGCAGTCTTCATGCAACAGGAGTGAATGATTTAATATTGTACCATCGTGCAGTGTTTACGTCACTTCTAAGCTGAACAGCAGGACATTTGCTCTGATGTGAATCCAAAACTAACAGTTTGCATCGACTATATTATAAATACAGGCACCACAGATAAAACTCGATGCAGCGAAATTTGTTTTAAAACTTTATTTTTGATGGCAGACAGACTGAGTCCTCCTCAGAGAATACCAAATGCTTTGAAGCGATGTGCTTATTTTTTTCAGCTGTTCTTTGCTGGAGGGGTTTTGTTGCTCTATTTAAAATCCCCCAAAGGCGTTCTGTTGGATTCAACTCCGGCGACGTACTTGCCCAGGTCACGGTTTGTTCTTGTGCAGAAACTCTTGAGTGACTTTTTGCTTTGGATGCTGGAATATTCCTCTTTTCACGCTGGGAGTCGTCTTGTTAGCCAGTATTTTGGTTTATCCACAAACATTCATGGGTCAATCATTATGTATAAACCTTTTACACTCATGTAGCTCCATATCATCAAACTTTCACCTCCGTGCTTCACTGTCAGGATGATGCATTCACTGTCATAGTCCTGATCAGGTCCACACCAAACAGTCTGGACTCCATCTGATCTGAACAAATTTAGCTCATCTGATCAAAAGCATTAATCAGGGTTCTTTAGCCCCTGTGCCAGATCTGAAGCAGCCTCTGTTTGTCAGAGGTAGATTGTGAAATTCGTGCACCGCAGCCCTGATGAGCGGCGCTATGACTCCGTCTGCACTTCCTGATTACTACTGCAGCTGTGTTTCACTGATTTTTAGTGGATCTTCCCAACTTTGCAAAGTCTCACATCTAGATTTTTCAGGTCCTTTAGCAGTTCTTTTCCACATGGAGCTATGATGTAGACATAAATAGACTCAACTCATATGTCCTCAACTGAGTTCAGGGGATTTTATAACCACATTCATGCAATTAGATCGATTGGAAATCACAAGTGTGCTTAGTTTAGTGTCAGTGAAGGCAGGTTTTCCACTTTGAGGCCTGAATCTTTAATATAATCTTCGTAAAGCATTTATTTTTGATTGCTCATATGCTGAACTACTCTACTGTTCAACCTAAAACAATCATTGAGAGGTGATACAGATTTTAATTATGAGACATTTAAGTGATTTTGTACACATTACACACTTTTAGTACACTGTGTTTTTCTAATGCACATAATGTAAAGTGATGAAAACGTAGCTCATGAGTCAGTTTTTACCTTTACACACACATTTACACACAAGAACTTCATTTGTGTTGTTGTCATAACAAACGTTTTATTTATCCTCAGGCAAGATTTTTGAATTGCGCTGAAAATAAAAAGAAAACATCTCCGCCGCACCCGAGCCGTGTGTAGAAACAGCCTCAGACGCTTGTGAATAATGCATAAACGGATAAAAGGTTCACTTTCAAACTATTTTTGATGGCAAACTGAGTCAGAGAGCGTAACAGAGACGAGTGAGCTCATTCTCCAGCTGCTTGTTGTGTTAAGTGTTCGCTGCCTGTTTAGGTTAGTAGATCTATTTTCATGCACCTGGAGACTCGATCAAACCGAACCGGCCGTGTTTCCCGCATAATTAAAACCAACAATGCGCCTCACTACAATGGCTCATCGTACATTCATAGCTGTCATTAACCTCCACGATGCTCCCGCCACACTCGAGCTGAACGGACGGTTTAGATACAGAGACGGACTGAAGAGGGGGTTTTCTGTCACGTTGCTGTTCAGATGGTGAACGTCGGTGTAAAAAGTGGCTCAGACTTCATGTAGACGTGAAAAGGAATTGTCTGTGAAGGTTCTCAGCCGTCCAGGTCGTGGTTATTCTCGTGGTTCAATCGTAGCAACGTCTTCCTTGAAGACGTTTCATCCAAGAGGCTTCATCAGCTCTGACTGACTGGTTGGGAGTTCCAGATATCCTAAAGGAGCCATTAACACCTGAGTTTCAGTTTCAATTTGGGGTTTGTTGCTCCTCCCCCTCGTTATGTGAAAAGATGTTAATGGCTCCTTTAGGATATGTGGAACTGGTCAGTCAGAACTGATGAAGCCTCTTGGATGAAATGTCTTCAAGGAACTCAAGCAAGTCCAGTTGCTACGATTAATCTACGAGAATGAAAAGTTTTGCTCTGTCGGGTTATGTTTGCAAGGTGGTGCAGTTGGTTAGCACTGTTACCTCGCAGCTAGAAGGTCGCGGGTTGGTGTCCCGGTGAGGACACCCGGGATCTTTCTGCGTGGAGTCTCCATGTTCTCCCCGTGCAGCGTGGGTTCTCTCCAGGTTCTCCAGCTTCCTCCCACAGTCCAGAAACATGCTGAGGTTAATTGGTGATTGTAAATTGTCCGTAGGTGTGAATGTGAGTGTGCTTGGTTGTCTGTCTCTAAGTGTAGCCCTGTGATAGACTGGTTACCTGTCCAGGTGAACCTGCCTTCACCCTGAGTCAGCTGGGATAGACTCCAGCCCCCCATGACCCCAGTGAGGATTAAGCGGTGTGTAGATAATGGATGAGTCGGGTTATGTTTAAAAATCTGCGACAGCGTTCAAATTTCACCAGACAGATGTGTACTTTATCCATCCTCTTGGGGAAGTTGGGGAGTTGCTCACATGTTATATTTAAGAAGAATAAGGAAACTAATGTGCAAAAGATGGTGCAAATCATGCTGGTAGAAGACAAAAGGTGCAAAATTGTGCAGGTATGTGCGATAAAAAAGGGTATTAAAAGGCTAAAACAGTAGTGACGTATTATCTTTATAGTCTTGTGTATGACGTCCTTTTACTTTCTGTCCAGAAAACGAGACGGTGGACACGTCTGAGTTCGAGTTCCCGTGCGGCGTCCGTGAGTGTCCGGCCAGGTACACCTGCAACGACACCTGGATCGGCCCCAACGACGGCATCACGCAGTTCGACAACATCCTGTTCGCCGTGCTCACTGTCTTCCAGTGCATCACCATGGAGGGCTGGACTACCGTGCTCTACAATGTGAGAAAGCCAACACACACACTTAAGTGTCACTCATAATATTTTTCCAGGATCGCTGCAAATTATTGAGGCGTCGCCGCGTTTTGTTACAATTTAGGCTCCATTATCCGTAAATGAACAGCGGCGGCTTTTGCCCCAGAGCGTTAATGGCTGCTGAGAGGACATGTGCAGCCACTGAATCCTCCTCTCTCCCCGGCAGACCGGCTGTGGAGGGAGGACGTGGGGAGGGTGTGACTCTGCTGGAGTGTTAATGTTGATTCATGTTTTGCCGTCAGCTCGCCGTGTTTATGAGAAACGTGTAAACCTGCTGCAACATGAATGGAGCGGTCGTGAAATCGGACGTGCTTCAGTGTCACTGAGTGGATTCTCAGTCATCCAGGTCATGATGATCCCAACAGCTTTATTATTATTAAGCATCTCAGAGTGTCTTGAAAAGTGCTGTGTATGTATTATCGTTATTATCAGAGGTCTTTATGGTTCTTTAAGGACGTTTCATCGTCATCCAACTGACTGATAGGAGTCCCAGGTATTTATTCTAACCTCTAAATCACATATTGGCCCAATAAGGACCCAAGACTCACGTGCTTCAAGGTGTACATGGTTGTGAAACTGGGGACATATCTCAGGACTGCATTATATGTACCTGGTAGGTGGAGTTGTCGACCCTCTTCTGTATTTTAGCGTTGACAGCTTCCAACAACAGCATCGGACAATATTGTCATAGAAGGATTATTTTACATTTCATTTCATTTCAGGCCTTCCTGACTGCTGTCTGTGTGTTACCATTTTCAAATTCTCCTTCACTATTCACTACAACAGCTAGCAATCCGCCACATCTGAAAAAATCTCAGGTTCTGGATCGTGCAGCAAGGACGCCACGCTGGTTTTGTGTTCGTCTCCTTGCATGCAAATGCTCCACCGAAACAATTCCACCCTTCAACATTTTAAGAAAACACTTCACTTAACTCCACCCAGAACAACTGTGAGTAGAAACACAAATACAACAGAGGTTTTTTCCCCCCGTAGCAGAATGACAGTAAGCTGTAGCCAGACCATTAAGTACGACAGAGAATACCAGAATGATAAAACACACAAACACAAGACTCCCCATTTGTCAGTTGGAACAGAAGAAGTGAAAACAGAAGTCCGGTTACCGACTACTAAAGCTCTCAGGCTGTTTTCCACCAGTGCATTCACGAGGCAAACATTACTCTGTATTTCCATGTGTGCCTCCCCAGCTCATGTCTGCTCATGCATGTTCCTGTATGTTGTCACCATGGGTTAGCAGGTTCAGTTAGTTCGTAGTTTTATCCTCCTGCTTGACGGATATCATCTCGTTCCCCCGAGTAACAAACCGGGCCACGAAAACTGTCGCCTTGTTTGACACGAGTTCAATACCAAAAGCCCGAGGGAATCTTATTTAATATTCCAGTTACGAGGAGAAAAAAAATCCTGCAGTTGCACAGAAGAGCTTCGTATCACGGTGCGTCTCAGACAGACGTGTGTTCAAGTTACGTGTGCTGAAACCAGTAATAATGTAAATTTTGGGCTGTGCGGGGTTGAGACCACGTATCACGACGGAAAGGCAGGCAGGCAGTGGCACCATCTGCCAATCTGGTTTGACACTTCCTCAGGGAGAAAAATGCAGAATTTAGTCTGTAAAAGCTCTAAATAATATGGTTTTACTTGTGACCTCCACTCGACACCAGAACACAAGTGCAGTGTTTAGTTGCTGTTTAAAGATTTGCATCACTGGAGGCAGTTTTCATGAACCAAGAGTGTATAAACAGACAACTTCTCCATAACTAAACTGATTTTTCTACTTTTTTTTCTGTAACTTTTACCTCAGATTGTCTGCGATATGCAAACACACAAACTCCTGATTGTAATTTGCGTTCAGCGCTCTGCTCTTCCTGTTTTTTACTGAGATGGATGAAGGCAGATTGTATTATGTCGTCTGAAGCGATGCTCGCTGAGCTTCACCGAGGAAACAAAAGGATGACGTTGCTGCTTCTGTGCTGCTGAAAACCTTCTGCTGACCACACAGAGTTCCCGTAATAATGTTTGCTGTAGTCGGTTTAAACTGCATATAACAAACAGTACGACTGCATTCTTTTCTTTGCGGACGTAAATCAGTTGTTTACACATACAGTAGACATGCATGTAATCCCAACGTCCAGACATGTGATCTGTAAAGGACGACATTTATCAGAAGCAGGAACAGTAAAAATCTGCACACTTTAGCTTCTAATCACAAATGACCATCAATTTACTTTAGGAAAAATAACCAAATTCAAGTTTTGAATCATGATATTTCATCAAAATAACTTTATCCTACATGTCTCATTTAAAACATCATCAAAAATCAAGAGTTTGCAGCAACCATAATCTGCAAAAATCTAAAAAAAGTGTTCATCGACATCACGTGACGAACTCGGCGTCAACCAACAGTCACATGACAAAAACATAAGTACACTAAATATGCACATAAACAAACAGTCAGTGAGTGTTTCTCCTCCTTCAGTCTTTCCGTTAAAGCAAATCAATACATACCTGTGTCTTTCTGTCTCAGTAACAACACGACTCAAATATTGATTGTAAAGTCTAAATTTCTCTCTCTGGGGACGTTTCAGACCGACGATGCCTTGGGCCCCAACTGGAACTGGCTCTACTTCATCCCTCTCATCATCATCGGCTCCTTCTTCGTCCTGAACCTGGTGCTGGGAGTCCTCTCTGGGTAACTTCAGCCTCTTTGTCTCGCTCATAAATCATGAAAACGTTCATATTCTTTTAATATTTGACTGGTTTATTATAATACTTCCCTGCTGATTAGGTAGTGATGCAAGTTTCTCTAAAAATGACTCTCTTTAGTAGCCAGACTGAAGCTGTGTCCTAGTTTAGAGGTCGTTTTACTGCATTTCAACACCAAACACTTTATAATCAATCAACCTGTCACATATTTAATGCACTCCGTCATATGTATCTGTGACATGCAGCCTTGTCCTGTTCAGATTTAAAGAATAAAGTCCATATTTGTGTGTTTCACAGCCCTTTTTATGATGCTTTAAGGCAGCCATTGTCTGATTATAAAGTAGGGAAGGAAAACGTGTAGTTTCATTGAATATTTAGCAGCTGTCTGAGTGTATTTGAATGACCTTAAATGAACTGCTTGGTTTGAAAATGATAGAAACCAAGGAAAACTCCTGTTTATTCTCTTTCTCACACAGTTTATCATTATGCAGGCTGCTACCGATCAGTTTAATCCATGCACGCACCCTTAAATTTGTTTTAAATGGAAAGTTTTTGTGTGTGCTGTGAGGACTAAAGGACAAATTAGAATCTTAAGTTTTTTATTCCTCCATGCTAATAATCCAGTATGTACTACACCAGTTTTAGTGTTTGGTGTACGTGAAGCTTGGAATGCCAAGATGGGAGTGAAAAGACTGGATTTTTTTGTTTCTATAAACTTCTCTACACCCGAAAGGAAATTCTTTTCCCCACATTGCTCAAAAAGAAAACGACACAACCTGAGAAAAGCAGAGCCTCGTAGGAAAGCAATAAGATATAAGTGTGACACATTATTAAAAAAATAAAACAGGTAAGCTAAAGTATGGCTAGAATGAAAAGTGATGCTGGCAATAAAGCTGAGGACGCAGAGTAATATCACACATGGTAATGAGGTACAGCTCCCACCTGGAAAGTAATAAGAATAAATAAAAGCACTTCTGGTGGTTTTGGTGCACATGGAGACCGGTGGAGGGTCCGTGTCTGGTGGAGCCCGGCCTTACTGGGAAGTGTGGATTTGGTGCATGCACAGGTTCAGCTCTCCAGTCAAGTTCCTCCCTGAAATGAGAGTTTAAAGTTTTACAGCTCATCGTGTCGTCCTGCTGGTTTTACATCTCGCAGGTTAAACTGTGAGTCGGACGCGCTGCAAACTGCTTCTCTGCTGTTTGGTGTCGTGCAGTTTCCCTACATGTCTGCACAAGTTCATTAGTGGACGGAGGGGGATCTGTTGTCATACAAGAGAAGCTCTTTGACTTCCTCTGCTCCTGCGGTCGGATGAGCAATGAGAAGAACTTACAGTCTCCAGCGATTGTCTCCAAGAGGAATCATTTATCCCGGTTGGCGATGAATCCCTCAGTCACTCAGTAAACAACTCTGTGGTTTGGTTTGTTTTCTGCAGGGAGTTTGCCAAAGAGAGGGAGCGGGTGGAGAACCGGCGGGCCTTCATGAAGCTGAGGCGCCAGCAGCAGATTGAGAGAGAGCTCAACGGCTACCGGGCCTGGATCGACCGAGCAGGTGGCTTCGGATCGGCGGCTCCTCGATGAGAAATCAGTGTTTCACTTTAGACGTCTGATGCCAGGACGTCTGTTTCCACCTGCTGCTGATCTTACGTTTTGTGTTGCAGAGGAAGTGATGCTCGCCGAGGAGAACAAGAACCCAGGACCTTCTGCGCTCGATGGTAAGTCAGCTGGATCTTTGTTCCTCCTGGTTGTGCACATTGTGTTTCTGCTGCGCTAGCGGTGCTGTACAGGCTGATTCGATTTAATGCTGGTAAATGTGCTTCTTCACACACAGCGGGCTCCTACAGTCGGTGCTACGAACGTGGTTTTACTTTTTTTTTAAAGATGTAGATGCTCGAATAAAGATTCATTCTAGTGGTAATGTTAATTAATTACTCCTGTGGTCCGGACTTAAACGTCTCAACAACTACTGAATAAGTTGTTTTGAAATTTGTGTGAATATTTATGGCAGCGTTGTTGAATTGATTTTTGTTGGAAGTTAGAAAATGTGCAGGATTCTGTTTGAAACCGTCGGATAAACTTGTCTCTCTCTTACCTCATAAAGCAGATGTATGAAGGGCTCCTTTGTCTTAAATATTGCCAGCAATTACCCCTGTTTTCTTGGAGAAAAAGTAGAAGCAAAAAAGCCCTGAGCCAAGGCAGAACAATGGAAATTTTGCCTTGATGAGTTTCTTCTTTTCAGTAGAGAGTCAAACATCCCGTACGTTTAGTTTTAATGAGTCTAGTTTAATCTTTTAAACTTAAAATCTGTGGCAGGTTTCAAAGGCAGGTTATCGTTAAGCACATGTTTGACTTTCTGGCGAAGAAAATCCCCCAAAATAACAAAACTGAGGCTTAAAATCATGATATTTCATTAAAAAATCGCCCTTTTCTACATATTCCATTAAAGATTTTACCCAAAATAAAGTGTTAGCCAGTATTAAATTCTGTAATAACCACAAAAAAAAATCTGAAATTCTTTGCACAATCAACAAACCCTGATGAACTCAGTCACATAACAACAATTCAGTGAGTTTTTGGTAAAGCTGCAGGCTGCAAACTAAACTAAACTAAAGTCTAAGTCAAATATTTATAATATGTAGAGACGCTATTTTTTCTTTTTCAGGTATTCGTAACACTTGTTTGCATTTGGGGGGGAAATGCACAAATTGATTGTAAAATAATCAACAAAATTCCAAAGAAATTCAACTTTTTCCTCATTTTTATAGTTTATAACTAGTTTATAACCGTATAACTGTGTCATGCTGCACAGAAAACATTTATAACTTCTGATTTCTGAAGAAAACTATTTAATAACGTGGAAATTATTCCCACGGTTAATGTAAAGAGTCAATTTCATTTACTACAACTAAATATGGTTCTAGTCGACTGGTTATTATTTGAATTACTTTAATTAAATATTGGATTTCCGGTTAGTTAAGTGGCTTTTTTTTACTTCATTTATTGAGAAACTCTGTTGGAGCCGCTCACTGTAGTTGGGTTGAATCAACATTTAAATTCCAGCTCTAGTAGATGATGCTGACTCAATGCTAACACACCATCCATCAGAACTGTCTTAATTTAACTATTTAATCATGTGGAAATACTTTAACTAAGTTCATTTCTTGACTCCAGCTGAATATGGCTTCACTCAGAACTTATTATTTTGATCAAACCTCTTTAATTGGCGTTATAAATTCTGTTGGAGCAGCTTGATTTACTTTAGAAAAACTTCACATTACCTCTTTAAAGTCCATTTAAATGACTTTTTTTGAGTTTAGCCGAGTCTGAGTCGTGTTAAAATTTCACCGCTGAGCTGAAAGATGCACAAAAACAACCTTGAGCTCTGATTAGCCGGTCGAGGGTGCGAGCCTCCCAGATCACCGTAACGCCTCGACGAACAGGCCCTCAGCGCCACGCCGGCAGCGGCTGCGTTAAACCCGCCATTAGCCTCGTAGCCGAGCGCCGCTCCGACCCTCTCAGACTCTGCTGTGACCTTTTGCTGCTCGCTCAACCAGCAGGGCTTTTATTAAATGTTGATTGATTGGCAGCTCTCAGGAGGCTCCCAGAGTGGAGTACAGGTGGCGCCTACGGTGAGAAACGTCCTCTCTTCTGCACTTCCGCCAGCCTCACCGCAACCATCCCCACAACCCTCACGCCGCCACTGGAGAGCACGACCTCACTCTCTCTGTCGAGTTTGCACACAAAAGCAATTTGTAGCGCAAAACAGACAAATAAATGCAAGAAGCCCCTCCCTGGTAGCTTTGGTTAGGAAGGAAGGTGGCTGGCTGCAGTTGCCGTAGCAACCGCTGGTCTGAAAAGGCAGCAGCATGGATGTGCATGTAATGTTTATGTGTGTGTGTGTGTGTGTGTGTGTGTGTTGACAGGACTGTGGTGTTCCTGCAAACACTGACGTGCCATGCAAATATTGACTGCAAGTAGATTTCAGGAAAACACAAAGTAGAGGGAAGGTTTAGGATGGAGGTCACAACACGCTGCTCATCACGCCGGCATGTGTGTCGCCGAGCGCCTCAACCAGCTGGAGAAATAAAAAACCTGCATGAGTCGCCGCAGAGCATGATGGAGTTCACGAAGTAGCATCCGAGGGGTCGCACTCGGATCATTACACCGACATTAAACCATCGTTTTTGTCTCATTTAACCGCAGATCAGCTTCCCCCTCTCAGCTCAAACTCGTGATCTCCTCTCATCACTTTGCTTTTCATCCCATCACTAGACTTCCACCGCTGCATCCTCGGGTGTCTTTTAAAGATGTGAGGGCGGTCGTGCACAAGGCGGTTTTTCTGGAGGCCTCGCTGACAGAAAAACCCACAAAAAAAGCAGAAAAATCTTTAATTCAGGCTGATGTGATGCAAGCAAAGCGGTGCCTGAAAGTCGGCCTTGTGCTGCTGCTGCCCTCAGTGCTTCTCACCAGTCGAACAGTGTTTATACTAAAAACGTTCCACCTGCAGTGCTGAAGCGAGCCACCACCATCAAGAGGAGAGGGATGGACGTGGTGCACCAGGGCCAGTCGGGGGAGGACCAGTACGGAGACATCTCCTCCGTGGGTGAGTCTGAGCGTGCTCAGTAACGAGGCCAGCGCCACTCAGTCCACCGAGCTGCAGAGTTGAAGTTTCCCTCCGTTTGCCGTCCCTGAAGGCATCCCCATGGCCAGAGCCAGCATCCGGAGCGCCAAACGGGGTCCGACGGCTTACTTCCGCCGCAAGGAGCGACTCCTCCGCATCTCGATCCGCCGCGTGGTGAAGACCCACACGTTCTACTGGACGGTTCTGGGCCTGGTGGCGCTGAACACTCTGTGCGTCGCCATCGTTCACCACAACCAGCCGCTGTGGCTCTCCAACTTCCTGTGTGAGTCGCACATCAGCTCAGCAGAGCTTGATCCGGAAGGCGTCGACATGTGTTTGTCATCCCATCACAAGATCTGGTTATCTTTTTTTTTTTTTTTTTTGAAAACACTTTATTGTTTATTTAACACAGAAATTATACAATACACAGAAACAGAACCCCCCCCACCCCTACCCCTCAGACAGCACATGCTATATATAGTTACACACACACACACACAAAAAAAAAAAAAAAAAAAAAAAAAAAAGGCAAGACCACAATAATACTGACATCATAATGGTTATCTTTTTTAAAGTAATGTTGACTCCTACTTGCACTGTTTGAAGTAGAAGAAGAAGGAGAACCTCAAGGAACCTTATGGGGTTCCTCAAAGTGCTTCCATATGGGACCCTCAGAAAGGTTTTCAAAGAACTGTTCTGTAGATTTAATTTAATTTTATTTTATTTTGTTTTATTTTATTTTGTTAAATTCTATTTTATTTCATTTTGTTGTTTTATTTTTAATTTAATTACATTTCATTTTATTTTATGTCAATTTGATTTTATTTATGTTTTATTTTGGTTTGTTTTGGTTTAGTTTGTTTATTTAATTATTCTAACAACATTGGTGATTTTAACTTTTAAAACTTATCATATATTGTAGATGTTTAAAAATAGAATGCAGAGACTTTTTGACATAGAATAAAAATAAAATAGATATATTTAAATGTATACAGTTGAAACCAGAAGTTTACATACACTGTATGAATAGATGCATAATCTTAATACAATATAATACTGTCAGCCTCATTTTTTATTCATAATATATGTGATATGTTATATGTGCATGTTGAAATATTGCCATGTACACAATTCTAATAGAGCAAAGTTTAAATAATAATGATGTAAACGCTGCAAATGTGGAGCAAAAATCCTCCTTTAGAGTTATTAGATATTCCTCCAGTAACCTCTTCTCTTGTCTAACTAAGTGTTAAAGGTTCCTTCAGGAACACTCTGAACAGGCAAGATTCCCTGAACATCCCTGATCCTAGAAGAGAACTGCTCTTCTCACAACTGCTCTTCTGAGCTGACGTCCTCTCTGTTGTCCTTCCAGACTATGCAGAGTTCCTGTTCCTCGCTCTGTTCCTGACGGAGATGTTCCTGAAGATGTACAGTCTGGGTCCTCGCCTCTACTTCCACTCCTCCTTCAACTGCTTCGACTGCAGCGTCAGTTCTCTTCACGTTTGCTTTCCCCCAAAATAAGTTCCTAAATGATTCTGCGTCTCCCCGTCTGTCGCCGTCTGCTGTTGCTGGAGACGCTTTGTAAACGCTGCACATCTCTCCGCAGGTGATCGTTGGCAGCATCTTTGAAGTGCTGTGGGGCTTCTTCAGGCCTGGCACCTCCTTTGGCATCAGCGTCCTGCGAGCTCTCCGTCTGCTGAGGATCTTCAAGATCACGAAGTTAGCGCCGCCGCCTTCCTCGCTCGCTGCCATCTGTTGACGTGTCGCGTTATTTACGAGGAACGCGTCGCCGTCGACTGAAAACTAGCAGCAGAGTGTTCAGTGTGTGACGAGCAGCTTTCCAGATTTCACATGAACACAAAGCTCAGCGTGGTGCCGCTCTGACAAACCGGCTTCCTTTAAATGATGCACTTTGCTCTAAAAAGCCAACACACCAAACATGTGATTCATGTTCTCTACAAAATAGACGTTATACGCAGCCAAGGGGCGTTTTTATACACCTATTATCTGTATTTAAAGTCCCCCTCCATCACTGACCAAACACCTGAAAGCTCTGCTGATCAAAGTCCTGTTTTTTTTTGGCAATTTAGTTTTTGTTTTTACGGGATGTAGTTTCTGCATGTTATTGGTGGCTCTGAAGGAAAAAGAAAACTGCAAAATTCTTATTCTTCTTATTTTTTTAGTGGCATATCTAAAGTGGAAAAGAGTGAAAAAGTGTATCACTAGAAAAAATAAAAATAAAATAATAATTTAAAAAAGGAGTGAAAGAAAATATTTAAAATAAATGAATGGCAAAATAAATAAATAAAGTAAAACAAAAAAGAAATTAATTAAATAAAATTACAAAAAGGGTGAAAGAAAATATTTAAAATAAATGAATGGTAAAAAAATCTATTAATTTTAAAAAACTCGGACATTTTAATGTGATTTTTAATGGTAAAACTATAATATAATAATAATAAGTATGTGCTAAAAACTTATTTTAATTAACTCATAAATAAAAAAAAATAAATCTAAAAAACCACTAAAAGATCAGGAAAATTTGATTTATTTTTTTTTTTTTATCTCCATGCTTTTCCAAATTTCCTCCAGTTCTTTATTATAATCCCTCTGAACATCTCAAACAAACAGAAACTGGACTCAACAACAATCACATCAGCTGATAATGCAATTTAAAATAAATGTAAATAAACAGAATCTGAATCGAAGCTTGTCGACAATTTCTGTTAAAATTTAAACTCATACAGCTGCAGATGTTTCTCATACTGACGTGTAAAATCTGTTTTCAGATGATAAACAACCAGTTTGTTCCTCCAGACCTCTAAAACATGAACCCAGAAGTCTCACGTTTTCATCTTTTCTCTCGTCTCCTCCGTCCGGCTGCCGTCCAGGTACTGGGCGTCTCTGAGGAACCTCGTGGTCTCCCTGATGAACTCCATGAAGTCCATCATCTCGCTCATCTTCCTGCTCTTCCTCTTCATCGTCGTGTTCGCGCTGCTCGGCATGCAGCTCTTCGGCGGCAGGTGAGAGAAATCTAATAGAAAACACGGTGCGGACGGGTTTTTGTTCTCCGCTGTGCTTCCAGTAAACACTGACAAAGTTAAACACTGAAGCAGACTTCATGGTTCAGCAGATTGCTCTTTATTGAACAGCCGCACTTTAGAGGAGAATAGATGGTTGTTATTACAGCAGAGAGACGCTCTGTGAGGAGATTTAACACACAAGCTGCTGCTGCTGAGATGCTGGAGCGTGGCTTTGTGATGAACCGGACTGGACCGGACCTCCTGGGTGAAATAACCTCTCCAACACGTCTTCCTTCCCACAGGTTCATCTTCGAAGACTACACGCCGACGAACTTTGACACCTTCCCTGCAGCGATCATGACCGTCTTTCAGGTCTGGAAATAAAGCTGACAAACGATTGCACTCAGTCTGTTTATGAGAACATGGCAGGAGGCGTCGTATGAGTGGAGTTCATGGCTCGTCTGTGATGTTCTGTTCTGCTGCTGTTGTCATGTTTGTTTTCTAGATTCTGACTGGAGAAGACTGGAACGAGGTGATGTACAACGGCATCCGCTCCCAAGGAGGAGTCAAGTCCGGCATGTGGTCCTCCATCTACTTCATAGTTCTCACTCTGTTTGGGAACTGTATCCTTCATTACGTCTCTGTTTGGAAACACAAAAGGTTCCAACATGAGAAATGGTTCATTTCTTTATTTTTGCTGAACCTTCTGCACTTCAGTTAATATCTGGGTGATTTTTGCTTATATTTTTCTTTCTTACAGTGTTTAATATCTTCTTATTTAAACGAAGCTGCCGTCAGGTTGCATTGCTGTTTGTGCTCCTCCTGGTAGACGTTGGATTTAAATGCAGCAGAGTTTCCAAAAAAAACAGAACTAGAAGTAGAGAGGACTCAGAAATATGTTTTATGTGTTCTGTCAGAATACCATAAATCATAAAACAAGGAAAAATTAAAGTTCAGTATCTTTTTTTTTAACTTGCCTACTTATCCCGTTAACGTGTGTTGGGACGCTAGCCGTGTGTCAGACGATGCATGGCTGCTTCGCCGTTCATCCCGATGGAGGCCATCGTCAGGGCATAGCCTCCAGTCCACTAGGCCCCCTGACACCAGCTCATCCCATGTTTTCCTGGGTCTCCTCCTCTGTCTTTTTCCGGCGACGTCCAAGTTCCTGATTTTGTTGATGAACTGAGGTGGACGTGTCCGAACCATCTTAAACGGCGGTACCAGATCTTTGCATGAAGATCAACGAGGCCTAATTTCATATGAAGCTCACGTGAGCTGATGTGCACATCATGATGTGGTCCATCCATCTCAGCATGGAGCTCTCCTTCTGCTCCAGGCGACTTAGATTTTATTTCCTCAGAGGCCAACACTCGTAGGCATACAGTACAGTACTTCAGATGTAAGTGTTGTATACGGGGCCGTGGACATCAGGTGATATGGACCTTGATGACAGGAGAGGAAACGGTTCTTTCCACCACCACCACATAAATTGTCCCCAAGATAACAAAAGGACTCAACAGTTTCAAGCATGTGATCGCCAGTAGCCACTTGACTGCACTGATTGCCAACACTAGGGCGTGCATCGCCAAGACGGCGATTGCATCTGAAAAGCGGGTCCTCGGACAGCCTGCCACAGTCGTTGGAGCACCTCTTGTGCACCCAGTGCTTGCAACCATTACAGTAGATGGAGTTTCGGCTGCACACACCACAAGGATGCTTTCCAGAGTCTCTGAGAGTGTTAAGATGAGGGCTGGATATCAACACCTTAGTTTTCTTCCTGTTGACTCGCAGTCCTTTCGCCTCTAAGCCACTTTGAAAAACTTAAAGTGGAATAAATGGTGGCGCTTACTTTCTGTAAACACTTCCTGCGGTTCAGCAGAAAAGTCCCTCAGCTTTTAGTCATGTGACTGCTGGTTGCAGATCAGTTCCTCGTGGCTTCACGGTTGCAGAATATTTATTTTTCTACAGAATCTGGTTCATGCAACCCGCTCATTTTCTGCAACTTATTTAAACCCGACATGTAGAATAAAATGATTTTGATGAAATATCACAAATTAAGTTTGTTTGTTTGCAAATACTGGCAGTAAAGCCACATGTAGGAGACACGGAGCAACACGTTGAACACCTGCTGCCTGTAAACACCACGTTCACTCGTTTCTTTTAGCCTGAATCCTGATTAAAATGTTGTTGATTCCCACTTCTAGAACCTCTACTTGTCTCTCAACAGGATGTTTATGCTGTGAGTCCTTAACACAGGTGTGACCAGACACTCTGCTGAACGTCTTCTTGGCCATCGCTGTGGACAACCTCGCCAACGCTCAGGAACTCACCAAGGTAAGAGAACTACAGCAGAATCGCTCTGAGGTGCTTAAACTGCTGTAAGAGTCTCATTTAGCAGATTTAATCATCCCTCCACCCTCCACGTCCTGCTCTGCTCTGCCCTCCTCCCACCGCTTTGGTTCGGTTTAATAATTCAGACTCACAGATGTTACAGATGTTCGCTGCCTTTTGCTCTTTTTTTTTTCTTTTTTTTTCCCCCTCGCTTGATCAGGATGAAGAGGAAGCAGAGGCGGCGTTCAACCAGAAACACGCTCTGCAGAAGGCGAAGGAGGTCGGCCCGTTGTCCTCCTTCATGTCTTCAGAGTAAGTGCAGCCTCTTCCGGCCTCGCCTCCTCCTCCTCCTCCTCCTCCTCCTCCCCCTGCCTCCCCCCTTCCTTCCACCAGGGACCAGCCCACAGCGCAACGCTGAGCTGCTGCAGCCGCCGGTCTGCCCTGTGGCGCGATAGCTTTGGATCAGTAATGAAACGTGCAGCGCAGATGTAAGCAGCTCTGAGTGCCGCCCTGTGCGACCTAAACGTCACTGGAGGGAACCAGTGTTTTCTGCTGTCCCACCACAGACTCGCTGCTACGCCCTCCGTACGCTCCCCCGTCCAGCCTCCGCCTGCTCCTCCCGCCACTGTAATTTGCTCCAAATTGAAGCCCACGTCTCCATGGTTACCGGTTCCACTCCGGGCTGGGAGGTGCTTACGTCGTCGTCATGGAGACGGGGTTACTCGGTGTCCAAATTAAGACAGGGTGTCCATTACAGTAACACACAGCGGATGTGGTCGCTGGGAGGGTTCCAGCGTTGTGGAAAATCTGATTGATGAAGTAACATGACGTTGTTGTTTTTTGTTTTGTTTTGCAGAATAGATGATTTTTTTTATTCATTTATTTTTCTCAGGACTTGGTTGCACATTGCCTGGTGGTGGAGGTGCATGTGCATGAACAGGAGTGGGAACCTCTTGCTCTGTATGCACGCTGTGTATTGAGGAACACTTTGTTGCATGGGCATGAAGAGGAATTAAACATTTTATTAACTCGAGGTTTCCATTTTTTACATTTTTTTTCTCTCTCTGTCTTCTTCTTCATTAAGGCTCTTTTTGTAAAAACTTAGAGGAGAAAAAATTTGATTAAAACATAAAGAAATGTAGTCAGTATTAGCTCTAGTTAATCTGTGATGCCTCTTTTATCTGCTTACACTTGCTGCAGCTCAAACGCTTCAAAACTATTCCATAGAAACTTGGTAATCGGCACCAGAACCACTGAAATTCTGTGACTACCAGTTTCTACACCACAACAAAAAAACAACCGAATGAAGGGGAATGTATTTCAGCATCACTTCTGTTATTTGAATAAAATCCCCCAGGAAGCTTTTACTTTAAGTCATAAAAAAGACATTACTGTTATTTTAAACAATATCACGCTAAAGAATATAAACCAACTATTTTATATCATGTCTGATGCAGTTTCCAGGTGCTTGATATAAAACAAACGAATGTCCTTGGTGTAATAAATGCATGAAAAATATTAACGTTACAACAAAATAGTGGAATGTAAAAGTGTTAAGTATTATTATAAAGCGTGTTGATTTCTTATCATGTTGCAGGATTCATAACAAACAATTGAAAAAACAAAATCAATGCAACATTAGTAAAAAAAAAAAATAATCTCAGCTCATCTTTCTTGTGGAAACGTGACTTCTGTATTACCCATAATGCATTTCTGCAGGCTGCTCTGGTTGCAAACATCCCACATAAACCTAATGTGAGTGCATTTTGCAAGTAACCAAGCCAGTAAAATACCAATATTTGACTGTATTTTTACAGTGTTACTGATATACTTATGATACTGACTTATACGATATGAGGTGTTTAATTACACTTTCTAACATTAAACTGCATTTATATCATGTTGCCATTGTTACCAACATTAATCAGAACTTTTTCTTCTAATACCATGTATGAACACTATCATAAGTTATAAACCTGTAGCATAAATATTCTTTAGGACACAGGACTCTGCAACAACTAGATTTCAAAATGCACAAACCGTTAAACCTCAAAAAACAACAAAGAATAGGATTTTTTTAATGGATCGGGAACATTTATTCAAAGGCAGCAATGTAGGACAAAGTGTAGTTTATGAAATGTTTGATAGAAACGAAGGAAAAATAATTCAAATTAATATAAAAAAACAAAATAAATGAAAAAAACAGCCTTTATCTGAGTGCATCAGTGTTAAATTATTATTAATTTTCTTTGCTGCCTAAATGAAGCTGCTGCTGTAAAAAGGGCAACCTGCTGTGCAAAAACCTTTTATTTAGTTTTATAGTAATCTGCTGCTAATAGTCATTTTTGTTTTTGGCTCCAAAAAAACATCAGATTTTACATTTTTTAGCTGTTTTTTTTTTTTTTAAACTGCTTTAACAGTCTCTTAAACTGTGGAACCTCTGATTTATTTCAGGCTTGTACTCTAAACTTAAAAAAAAAAGACTTAAAACTAGAGATGTAAGTTTAAGTTGAGCAGCCGAGACTCTCCTCAGAGAGAAAACCGGTGTTTGACGGGTTTTCCAGGCTCGACATCTTTATCCAGAGAGGTCGCTCTGAGCTTCCCGGGCTCTCCTCTGACGCTGACCTTGGATGAAACCTGCATGGCACAACATGCTGCATGTTGGATTTTGATTTCGGGATCGCATGCGTCTGGTCAGCATGATCAAAGGAAGAAAAACAAAAGAATTGTGCACACACACTGAGTCACGATGCTTCTCACGTAACGCACGAAAAGCGACGCCGGGCCTGGAGTGCTTGGCGAGTGCTTCCAGTGTGCGCACAGTTTTTCTTTCCTTGTCAAGTCTTGAACCCCTCTTTAGCATTCTGAACACCTCGAGCTCGCATTTTGAAGCTCGGCTCTTGAATTTTCTCCTTTTTAAGCGCTAGCATGTCCCGAGAGAATGCTAATCTGTGCGGTGGCGGTGGTGTTCGGCGCTGCATCCCAATGTTTTGTTTGGAAGGGTTTCTGAATATGCACTGTGTGTTTGCTGACGGAGCCCATCCTCTGTGTCCTCTACCTGACTGTCTGACATCACGGTCTCCTGAATATGTCTCCTTATCAGTGTTGCGCTTACTGTTGATGTTTATGAATGTTGTTTTACTGTTCCTGATACTGACACCATCTTGTTTGTCGATGTGCCGCTTGGCTCCACCGGAGACACACATCAAAACATGACGCTTTTATCCGTCATCCACTGCGAGCGTTAAAACATTGGAAGTTAAAACAAAGGAAATTATTCCATTATGTAGTGAAATTGACATTTTATCTGTGTTGTCTTGAACGAGCCTTGAGCAGCTGGTGGATGGCGTTAACGCTCTGTACAGTCGTGTGTGTTTGCTGTGTGTCTCCCGGCCTGTTTTGTCTCTGCTCACAAAAGCACTAATGTCTTGTTTTCAACCAATCGCTCATTGATAACACGGACCACACAAGAGTCCACGCTCCAGTAAGTAACGCTGTCTGCTCACTTCTCTGAACCTCTCACTCACCTTTCTGTCCAGACGTTGTGTTCATGCTCTGTCCTGTACCGCCTTGTTTGTAGTCCACATTTCTCTCTCTCTATAAAACAACTCAAATCTACTCCACTGATTTCATTCTGCATCTTTTTGTTAGTAAAGTCACAGAAGAACTCCAGGCTTGGTTAATTTTTCACCTGACATCGCCATCGATCCAGTAAATTGCTTCATGTTGAAATGAAATTGCCTTTTTGTTGTTTGATAAATGGGCCGAACATCAAACTAAAACACTGGCTGTGATGTTCATCTTCTGGTTCATGCTTTGACTACCGATGCACGTCTCATAAAACAACCCAGAAAGCACACTGTAGATCTTTTAGAGATCTTGTGAAACTAGCTGAGACAAATTAACCGAACATGAAAAAGCAGGTTGAATAAACTCAAGATATTAAGTTGAATCAATAGAGTGTTCACAGCCGGACTTGTTTTTCTAAATTTAAAGAGTTTCTTCTGAATCTAATTTGAGAACTTTTAGCTTCAGCTGTTGGAGCCACAATCGGTGGTACAGTGAGATGAATTATAAGTCTTTTGTCGCTGTTAGAAATTTTTTGATTGTTATGGAAACAAAACAACCTTAACTAATTTATTAAAGTCACAAATCATCATGTCGGTTTTGTCAAACTACAGAAAACATGAGTCTCTTGGAAGTTTTAACCCTCTAACAAATGCATCCTGGGAAATCTGCTTGTATGCAGATTTGTTTTTATGAACTTAATTTAATAGGTTGAGTGAACTCGCAGCTGTTCATTCGTTCAGCTCGTCTTTTTAAGTCAAAATGGCTCAAAGTTTTTAAGTTCGAAAGTTATGGAGCTAAAACAGAGACAGTAGTCGTTATCAAAAAAAAAAGATCCATCCATTATTATCTCCACTATCTCTACACCTTAATCCTCACTAGGGTCATGGGGGGTGGAGTCTATCCCAGCTGACTCAGGGTGAAGGCAGGTTCACCTGGACAGGTAACCAGTCTATCACAGGGCTACACTTAGAGACAGACAACCAAGCACACTCACATTCACACCTACGGACAATTTACAATCACCAATTAACCTCAGCATGTTTCTGGACTGTGGGAGGAAGCCGGAGAACCCGGAGAGAACCCACGCTGCACGTGGAGAACATGGAGACTCCACGCAGAAAGATCCCGGGTGTCCTCACCGGGATGCAAACCGACGACCTTCTAGCTGCGAGGCAACAGTGCTGACCACTGAGACACCATGCAGCCCAAAAAAAAATCTGTTTTTTAAATGAAGGCTAATCAGCTACTGTCTCTGTTTTAGCTCCATCGAAAGCCTTCTGATAAGAACAATATTGAACAAAGATGAGCTGATTTTACTAAGTTACATTTTAGAGTTTTACAGGTTTTTTTTTAAGTCCATCAAAGCACATTTAGGCACTTTAGTTTGAGTTCGATCAGTGTTTTTGTGCTAAACTATTTCAAAAAGTAGAATTTCACTAAAATGAAACTATCGTAGATCCAATGCTTGAATTAACCTTAAAATAAATCTGATGAAATGTGTCACTGTAAATCTGAAGTTTTCCGTCTTCACACACTCACCTTTCCTCTTCTCTTCCTCCTTCCAGGGGAAGCCGGCGGCGGCGGCCCTACCTGTACAGGAAACGAGCGATTCACCGCAGCCGGCCGACCTACTCCTGCTCCCTGGAGGAGGCCCAGGGCAGTGTCAGGGAGGGCCGGCCTCCCCCGCCACTCAACCCCTCTAACTCTTTCATGTCCAGGAGAGAGAGAAGAAAGAGGATGACCATGTCGGTGTGGGAGCAGAGGACCAGCCAGCTCCGGAGACACCGCCAGATGTCCAGCCGGGAGATCCTGTTCAACAACCCCAGCGAGGAGAAAGACGGGCCTCCTGCCTCGGCTCATCCCCAACATGGACGCCCGCTGTCGCTGCACCGAAAGGCCATGCAGCACACGCCATCAGGGAGTCTGAAGCTCCCGACAGACCCTCTGGCCTCCCCAGCCAAGAACCCGGCCTCAGGCTCCTCCATGTCTGTGGATATGCCCCTGGATGCTGCCCTCTCCGGAGACATCCCCGAACCCCCGATGTCAGTGCTGGTGCCGGAGTCGGTGGATCCTACAAACGTTCCTCCTACTGATTCAGTGTCCACGACCCTCTCAGAGCCTCCAGAACCCGTCGCTGAGAGCGGAAAGCTAGGCGCCAATCAGAGCCACAAACCCATCAGCGAGCGCCGAAGCCCCAGGCTGAACGGCGAGCGTCAGCACAGGCCGGTAAAGAAGTTCAGACCTCCGGATAATGTGGACGCGCTGACTCCTGAAATGGGAGGTCACGGTGCGTTCAGGGCCAGGAGGGCGCTGCATCACTGCGAGCACCAGAGCGGAACCAGAAGTCAGGGATCTTCTCCTGGCAACGGGAGCCAACCGGCGAGCTGCTCGGAGGCCGAGGAGAAGAAGGGAAACCCGGGAACGGTGGAGGAGAAGGATGCCGAGCCTGAAAACAAGGAGGGAGAGGAGTCCAGACATGAGGAGAGCAGGTGAGACAGAATGACGAGCAGCTAAACCTTCATCTGCTGCAAATGATCAAATGATGAGTTTGTTTGACAGATAAAAGTCAAGAGAGAGAGAGACAGGAATAATATAGACAAAAGAGAGAATGAGATGCAACCACTCCAGGATGGTACATTCAGTATGTTTAAGGCCACAGCTTGGAAAAAGTAATGCTCTGATCTGACTAAAGACCAGGATTGTAGCTGATCAGGGCTTTTTTATTAAACTGATATCGGCACAACTTTACACCTGATCCTTTGTTTACGTCTGTTGGTGTTGTAAAGGGAGAGCACAACTGTTTTTTCTAAATTTATAGTTGAGTCACTGATGATGGCACAGTGATGATTTGGGCTATAAATGATCTCTGTTTTATATACCAGTGGAATACAATCCATCACATTCTACTTTAACTCTAATCGGAGGTCATGAAGCATCACAGGAGTCTTTGTCGTGGTGCCCGTTGCTAGCCAAACCCCTGACCACAGTCTGAGTGATCAAACAGTAAGAGGCTCCACCTGGTGAAACAACCAGGTACTACAGCTGATCTCCAACACTTTCTCTGGGTTTTCACCATCTATTGGAGCTTGTACGCTCCACCGTGTGACTCTACATTTTGGACAAATGTGGAGATGCATTATTTAGTTGTGAAGCAGTTGGACTGGATTGATTTTAATAACTTTGAAGTGTGTCATTTAAAGTGGTATCAGATCAGGACTCGGTATTGGCAGATGCTATTTTACTTGCATTTGAACTGGAGTGAAAATACTTTTACTTTTTGTTTTCTGCAGTTTCCAAAAGACTTGCGCTCTCTGTTTAATTTGCAAAATGAGTTTATTTGGAAGGCAGATGCTTTGATGAGTGACTACAGTGAGCATAGCCCACATACTGTAGGAAGGCATGAATTACGAACAAATATTCCACCGAATGGCAGCTTTTAATAACATACAGCGAGTCATGATCATAAATATATCCCCATAAATAGTTGCATTGTTCAGGGAAAATGTCAGGATATGAATGTTTAAACCATCAAAGGCCAAAATCAGATTCTTAATAAATGTAGATTTATGTGTGTAGATAAACCTGCAATAGAGAAACTACACAAAATACACACATTAAGCAGATAACAAACACAGCAAAGAAGAAAAGTAAACATCAATATGAAATGATGTGTTTACATTAAAGCCTTCAGAATCCATGCAGCATGAATGTATATTAACGAACACAAACACCAGATCAAATCAACGTGGTCATGTGTGTGCATATTCATACGTATCCCCGAGTGTCTGGAACAAGAAAACCAGAGGATTTATGTTTAGTAGAAACGGGAGACAAGCAGATAACAATAATGCTGTGCTTCTGCAGGAACAGTCAGCAAATTGCTGTCATACCACCTTATAAAAGCTTTCATTTCTAACACAGAGTAGATCCGACTGTGCTGTGAGACGCTGAATTATTCACCAGGGATAAATAACTTGTCTGGATCCTAGAAATTCTGATGTTCTCTGTTGTAAGCGACACCTTCTTTTGCATCATTTTAGCTGCATTTCAAAGCTTAGTGTCCTGTTAAGCCTTTCTAGACTTCTGTCTCTATTAATGCCTGCAAAAAAAGACGAAAGAATGATGGAGCATACAGAGGGGAGCTTTCACTGCGTTTGATCATTTCATCCTACAGCAGATATGTTGGAAGGAATCTGGGCAGGCAAACTGTTTTTTCTTGCTATTGTGCTGTAACATCACTCATCATGACTTTATTTTGCAGCCCAGTAACTGAACCTGTCTTTAATTCCTGCATCCACACTCTGAACCCATCACGGTCCAGTAAAGTGTTTCTCTGCACCTCCAGACCAGACGACCAGAGCGAAGGAGTGGACAGCAACCCAACAGAGAACCAGACCCAGTCTGGTGACCAGTGTCCTCCAAAGCAGGAGGAGGCTCCTCAGCAGTCCGAACCGGCTGCACCTGATGTCTCCGAGGACAACAAGGAGGAGAAGGAGGCCGAGCCGGACCAGGACAAATCTGGGCTCAGCTCCAGTGTGATCATCGAGGTGCCCAATGTACAGCCGTCTCTAGAGCTCTCCACGATCACAGGTACGAATCTTAGCTGGTAATATTAGCTCATGCTTTGTTTTCTCGTGGGTTGCGATTGTTGCTTCGCTTACTGAGGTCAGTTACATGGGACAGGTAATATTTCAAGTAGACAAATTACTCACCAGGATGTCCGTGGTTTTGAATTTTAAAACTGCGTGGTGAACAATCCGAAAACGTTTTTAAGCTTCTCCTGGAGGATCCATGAGGCATTCCCAGATGAGATACGAGGTGCATCAGAAAAGTTCCAGGACTGGTGTCACAAAAGATAGATTCCAAACCCAAACTAGGAGTTTTCTCCTTCAGATGATCAACCGACTCGTCTACAAAGAGATCCTGCAGCGTTTGCTTCGCTCCAGAAGAGGCAGAGTTGTGTCAGGACCAGTGGAGGCTGCGTCACCATGACAACCTGCTCACAATGCCCTGAGCATCCCACAGCTCCTGGCTGAGAAGAACATCTCCGTGCTGGAGCAGCCTCCCTACTCACCCCACCTGGCTCCGTGGGGTTGGTTCCTCTTCCCCAAACTCAAGGGGGTCATCAAGGGGACCCGTTTAGAAGACGTGGACGACATCAAGATGGATGTGACGACAGAGCTGAGGAGGATCCTGGAGGAATCCTTCCAGGAGTGCATGGCGGCGTGAAGAGAAGGCTGGGGGAGTGTGTTAGACTCCAGGAGGATTACTTGGAAGGGGAAAACTTGTAGTTTGTAATTTGGGTTTGAAATATATCTTTTGTGACACCAGTCCTAAAAACTTCTCTGACACGCCTCCACAAGTGTCCTCACAGTTGGCTGCAAAACCTCCAAAGAAGGAGGCATCCTGATCAGAACCACCTGAACTGGTTCAGTTTGACATGAAGGATGAGCGACTCTACTCCGAGCTCCATCCAGATGTTCCTCACTCTATCTCTAAGACTCAGAGTTGCTGTTTGACATTCAGCTACAAACTGTCCCTATGTGACCTGAAGATGGTGGTCTCATAAAGCCAACAAAACCACATCATCTGCAAATACAGAGACTCTAAAGTTCCCGAACCTGAAATCTTGAGTAATTCTTTCTGGATTCATCAGGCAGCACCAGAGTCATGTTTTATTTAATATCTGTTCCTTTTAAATTCTTGCCTCCAGAATTAAAGGTGCAATATGTGAGATCTTCAACAATTTGTTGTGTGTTTTGGCAGCCGGTCCAGATGTCTGTTCATATTAGTATATATAAGTGCATGTGAGTCCCTCCCTTTGAAACTGTTGGCCCTCCACACTCTTACAGACGGACCAAGAGTCACCTCTCATGTCGAATTGTAATCTATTACATGTTTTATTTATTTTATTTACCTAATTGATGTGCTTCTCCTGACCCTCTCTAGTCAACAGTAAGGATCCCGAAACCTGCAAATCAGAGAAGGAGGAAGCAGAAGAGACGAAGCCCGTCAACACCGTGACCCCAGACAGCATGTTCATCTTCAAGCCTGACAACCCGTAAGTTTATTCTACCGACGCTTCACAGGCTGAAGTCTGGTCCAGCAAGATTCAGGATAAAGTCCTGCGCCTCTATGGAAACAGCACAAGCATGGCAACAAACAGAGACAAGTGTCTTCTATGCAGAATGACAAACATTATAATGCCATAAATCATCAAAAGTAGAAGGAACAGTTCAATTTCGTTGATTATATATTTTGCAAAAATGGGGGAAAAAAACCTTGGAATTAACATGTGCAACATTTTTCCAAGTTTTACCAATACTGGAAAAAAAATGTTTGCACCATATACGATGTTTTTCTACTTGCGATGTTCTGCCTGTCTGCTCTCTGGAGGCCTGCAGCTCAAGTCCTAAGTTTTTCTCTTATGACTGTTCGCTGCAGCCGAGTCACCAATGGCCACCAAAGATGGTATCAAAAACTGCAGAATATTTAGTTTTTTAAAGATTCTGGTTACAGCCAATCCTTTATTTTGTGTGATTTTTAATTTAAAAAATGAAAGTATCACAGCTTATATTTGCATTACTTTGCCAGTTTGACAGCACTTAACAGATCAGCAGTTCAAGGACCATCAGAGAGTTTAAATTGCAGCGATTCTTTCTGCTTTTGCAGCTTCTGGCTCTGATAAATTGAGTAATTTTACCTTCTTTTTTTTTAAGACAACATTCCTCTGATTCAGAAGGTTAAAAAATAATGATTCAAACCAAAACATAAACTTGAAGAAGTTTGTGCAAAGTCTCCACCAAATGCCTGACGAGGAATAATCACATAACCCAGAGTAAATCCATGACATGTCGTTTCCAGACTTTGTTATTTGTACAGATTAAGCAAATTATAAATGACGAGGTTTTTTATGATCGTTTAGCAGAGCCAGGTCAGCTGTTTCCAGTATTTATGCTAAGCTAACATCAGTGGTGGCAGCTGTTTATCGCTTCATATTTACTGCATGAAATATCATAATTTGTTGTGGAATTCTGAAGGAGGTTGATGTAGGATGAGGAACCCGACACAGAGACACACCCGAGACTCAGATGACTTGGGTTGAAATAAGGTTTGCTGATCAGGAGAAGTGACACCAACAGAGCAGCAGTTCATGCACATAATGCCAGCATCTATTCTAAGGATCTCTCTCACACCTTCAGACTTATACCCTCCCTTAGTGGGAACCACATCCAGATTTATGGGTAAAAGGGAAACAAAGATAGTTTGGTGCATTCGTGCAGTCTGGCCTTGAGAGGTGCAGGGAGTGCTCGCCTGTCCTCCTACAGTAGATCTACATGAGGTCAAGAATCTATAGAAGATTTGCAGATTAGTGCACGTCTGCTACAAACACTACTTTTACATAAAGGAGTCAATCAGAGGAGCTAAAGGAAAGAGTTCAATATCATCTCTAGAAACTTAACTCCAAGAGAGGAAAGTACATTTTTCTTCACATCGTGTTGTTGATTTTCTCATCAATCTCCAAAATGTGTGACGTGTTTCATAACATGCATGTGGTTTAATCTCTATACCGTCCACTGTGCTCTCCTTCAGGGTGCGGCGAGCCTGTCACTACGTGGTGAACCTCCGGTACTTTGAGATGTCCATCCTGCTGGTCATCGCTGCCAGCAGCATCGCTCTGGCTGCTGAGGACCCTGTGGCCACCTCCTCCGACTGGAATAAGGTTTGTGTTCACGCTGGCAGTGGAAACCGCTGAGACAATAATGACTTCATTAACCCTCTGGACCCACATTTTTACTCGCTGTCGGCTCATTTTTTACTGCAACATAAAGTCCTGGACCTCTGTGGAGGAAGCAGAATCATGGCTAGAAGGAGAGAGAGCTCAGAAATGTCTCCTGTGCAGAATGACACAGGAAGAATTACATAAAGTTGAATTTGTTTGGTTTACAAAAACTGGAAGGAAAAAAAAGAGGAAATCAACATGTACAACATTTTTTTCAAGTGCCCACAGATGTTACTAACAAAAAGGGAAAATTATGACTCTATATACTGCAGATATTTTACTTTTTTATGTTGTTTTGTTTCTGTACTCGTCTTCTATCTGCTCTGTATAAACACAGCCTGCAGTTCAACCGAGAAGCCCCAGAATTTTAGTCATGCGACTGTTGGTTGCAGCTGAGTCACTGATGTCTTCACTGTTGTGTTAAAAAATGCAGAATTTTTTGTTTCTTACAGAATGTGCTTAGTCCAAATGGTTCATTTTTGACACATTTTTAAATGATAAATGACCAGCACAGTTGAAAATCTGTAGATTTTTCTTTCTTGCTCTGATAAATTGTGTTGTTGTGACGATCTTTTAAAGACAACAGCCTTTCAAACCCCTCCTGGTGGGTTTTTGAGGTTCAGATGGTTAAAGACAGAATATTTCTGCTGCTTCAAAACACTCCACCGTCCTCCAGCTCGCTGTTAACTCCTGAGATACACTGCCTGCAGTTCAACCGAGAAGCCCCTGAATTGTTGTCACGTGACTGTTGGTTGCAGCTGAGTCACTCATGGCTTCACTGTTGTGTTGAAAAATGCAGAATTTTTTTGTTTTTTACAGAATGTGCTTCATCCAAACAGTTCATTTTTGACTAATTTTTCGATGATAAATTTTGGGCAAAGTCAAATTTTCAAATGATAAATGACCGACAGGGTTGATAATCTGTAGATTTTTCATTCTTGCTCTGATAAATTGCGTAACTGTGACGATCCTTTAAAAGATAACAGCCTTTCAAATCCCTCCTGGTGGGTTTTTGATGCTCAGATGGTGAAAGAAGAAATATTTCTGCCGTTTCAGATCACTCCACCGTCCTCCAGCTCGCTGTTAGCTCTGAGATATGACTCCAATCAGTCTTTATCGGTGCCCTGGGTCTCGGAGCTCCCTGCATCTACAATAAGCAGCTGAAGTACCATTAAGAAAAAAAAAGAAATCATTTCTAATAAAATCCCCTTAAATTGTTTTGCAAAAGGCCGCTAACGTCGCTTGATGGGGGGTAATTAAATCTCTGATGAGACAGTGGGAGCCTGGTGGTTTATGGGGGAACGTGGCTAATTACCCTGTGTTGTATTAAAATCATATCAGAGCTCTGCTTCGTACTAAATGGCTTCTGAGAGCCGGAGGAATAAAGCAGACGTAAATGTCATGAAGTTATTACAACCAGTGACTTTTGGAAAAGACTACTTCTGTGTTATTGTGTTCAACAGATGTCTGACTGTCGTTTCTTCTTTTCTTCTTGCTTCACAGGTTCTGCGTTATTTTGATTACGTGTTCACCGGAGTCTTCACGTTTGAGATGATTATAAAAGTGAGTCACTGAGGAAAGGCTGCAATTATTTCATCTGGAATAGAAATGGGGCTAAAATATGTAAATGCACTGGTTTTTAATCATTTTATCCCCATTGATCCTTCTGAATTTGCACTTTTTTTTGCTCCTGTCGCATTTTTACTCACCGTGGGCTCATTTTTAATTACAATAAAAAGACCTGGACCTTTATGAAAACAACACGATCACGACTAGAAGCAGAGAACGCTTCAACATTTCTTATATGCAGCATAAAAACACCCTATCGCCATAAATTGTGGAAGAAAAAAAGGAAAGTTGAATGTTGTTTATTATTTCATTTACAAAAATTGGAGAAAAAAAATCTGGATTCTTCTTAGACAACATTTTTTTCCCAAAGTCTACAGGTGTTAGAAATTTATACTACAGATATTTTACCATTTACATTTTTTTTTTTTTAAGCTTGAACTAGGACTGAACTGCAGGCTGTGTAAATACAACCTGCAGTTCAGCCCAGCTCAGCTTGAAAATCGCAGAATTTTCATGACGTGGCTGTTGGTCACAGTTGAGTCATTCCTGGCTTTGTGTTTGTGCAGAAAAGTGCAGAATATTTTGTTTTTTACAGAATCTTTTTAATGTAAACTGTTCATTATTTACGAAATTTAAAATGGAAAAAAAAGATTTTTGATGAAATATTCAGATTTTAAGCTGATTTTCTGCAGGTCACAAATGAGTAGTTCAAGGAAAGTCATAAATCTGACAATTATTTTGCTTTTTGCAGCCTGTTCCTTTGATAAATGCTGCATTTTGATCCAGCTTGTTGGGTTCACAGGGTTAAAGATTAGCCAAAATTCTTCAAAAACGGTCTTCACAGACAATTTTTCACACAACAAATAAATTAAGTTTCTTGTTTTAACTGAATCACTGAGCTCCAACCAGGCCAAAAGAAGCATTTACAAAAAAAGAGCAGATGTAAGAGTAGTACGTGTGCAGCAGAGGCTCTTTTTTACTGCCCTCTTTTGCACTTCATCGTCTCGCCACCTCTCAGATTTATTTCGCGACGCCTACCGAGGTCAACGACCCCTAGTTGGGAACCGCTGCTGTTGTCTGAGCTCGTATTTACGGGTTAGATCCTCCGTAACTCAAACACGTCAGACTGACTCACCGTGTCGTCCTCAGATGATCGACCAGGGCCTCATCCTCCACGACGGCTCCTACTTCCGAGACCTGTGGAACATCCTGGACTTCATCGTGGTGGTCGGAGCGCTGGTGGCCTTCGCCCTCACGTCAGTTGGCCTGATTTATTTTTATTGCTCTCGTCTTGTCTGAACGTTACAGTGTCTTTAAATGAGTTATCTCTGGTGCCACCGTGTGTCCGCCGCCTTCCTCGTTTTGTATTTATGGCTGTTGACATGAACGTCGCTCTCTCCTGTTTTTATGTGTCCGACGCCTCTGCCGGACTGACCTGCAGCAATGTGATGGGGTAAAATCCTCCTCTTTCAGTAGCGATAGCAGCTGTGATTGTGCACATTTCAGTGTTTGTGAACATGAACGCTGTGAGATGCTGTCAGCGGATGAAGGACGCTCACAGCCGGTCTCTCTGTGCAGAAACAACAAAGGACGGGACATAAAAACCATCAAGTCTCTGCGAGTGCTGCGAGTCCTCAGGCCTCTGAAGACCATCAAGAGGCTTCCCAAACTCAAGGTCGGAGACGTTTTATGTTCGATTTGTCAAAAGTTCTTTTGATTTCTGTCATTATGAGCAATGAAAAGGTTGAAAAAGAGAACTGGATTGGCCTGATATTCTCCATGTGTAGATGTAAAGTCAGCCTATTAGACGTCACACATCAGTCTTTTCTCACTTTGTTTTCTACTCTGGGTTCTTGTTGCTGGACTAGAAAAGCTGCAAGTACAAAAAAACATCTTTGTTCTTCTCTATTAAGTGCATTTTGTAAACCTGAGAGCAGAGCAGGTAACAAACAGAGAGGAGACCCCACAGAGAACAGAAACCTCTGACCGTCCTTATTGTTGGTCCAGTTTTTCAGCCTCAACAGCTTCAGAAGAACCTCGAGGAACCTTTCAGGGTTCCTCATCATCGCTGCTGTCTGGAAACATTTTTAGCTTCACTGAGAAACCCCACAGGAAAGTTCCTTAGAAAACATCTGCAGCCCTTTTGGAACTCATTATTATTGTTATTGTGGATTTTATTACAACCACACATAAGAAGAAGTGCTGAACAGTATTTTAGATGTTCCTGAAGACATCGAGGCTAATAGAGGGACCTTGTAATGACTCCCTTAGAAACAGGAGAAGTCTGGGGATGCTGAGGGAACTGGAATGAATTTTTCTGTTGTAACTGTTGGTCATAGCTGAGTCACAAATGGCTTCACAGTTCTGCTGAAGAGTGCAGAATTTTTTGTTTTTTACAGATTCTGTTTAGTTTAAAGAGTTTATTTTTAATTAATTTTTAAATTCAGACATACAGTAAAAGGATTTTGATGAAACACATATTGGTTACTCCATGATTCTTTCTGTTGTTTTACAGCCTCTGGTTTTGATAAATGACTAATTTTGGTGGTTTAAGTCTGTTTTTTGGAGTTCAGAGCGTTTTAACTCCATATTTCTTCCACCTCTCGTGTTCCAGGCCGTGTTCGACTGCGTGGTGACGTCTCTGAAGAACGTCTTCAACATCTTGATCGTCTACAAGCTCTTCATGTTCATCTTCGCCGTCATCGCCGTGCAGCTCTTCAAGGGGAAGTTCTTCTACTGCACCGACAGCTCAAAGGACACGGAGAAGGACTGCCAGTAATCCTCATTCACACGTCTTTATTTCTGTGTCTGATCCTTTTTATTTCCATCTTTCTCGATGCTTCTCGATGCTTCTTTTATTCTTACTTGCTCACTGACGTGCTCACCGTCTTACTTTGTGGAGCTCTTCTGTATAATATTCCTTTTCTCTCTTATTTTCTTTCTCCTGTCTTTTTTTTTTCACCCTTCCACGAGTTAATTAGTATAAAATATTCATTTATTCCTTGTTGCTTTCATCGTTTGTTTCAAGGACAAAGCGCCCGTGTGGCTCCACGTCTTCTTAAATGTCAGCGCTGAAGTTAACAAACCTGCTAGAAATCTTTCAAACTCACCTCAGAATTGTAAAATAAACATTAAACAGTTTCTAACAGATTCTTTTAAAGAATTTAATGTTATTTTACAGATGTTCCTATTTTTTACAAACAACTCATAAAATCACAGTTATTAATTTACATGTTAAGCATAAACAAAACTCTTAATAGTGTCCACATTAAACACCTGTATTTATATGAATAACAGTTTGTTCTTTTATAATGTTTGTATGCAAAATTACACTTTTTTGAGGTATTTAAATTAGCAAAGTATATCATTTATTGACTAATACTCGGAGTTACTTGAAATGAAAATGATTTATGTTAAAAATTCAGAATATTGCTTAAATCATTTTTGCAAATCAATTTTTTTGCATTTAAATTAGCAAAAATTGTCAGAATTTTACAGATAAATACTATAATTTAAACAAAAGTATGTATGTTAATTATTGAACATTAGCAAAGAATACTTTAGCTTTTTTAGCCTAGCATTTTTAAAATGAAGATTAAATTGTTTCTAATTTTAAAAAATAAATTTAAAAAATTACATTTTTACAGTTTTTAAATAAAAGTACCATAATTTAAAAGATAAATTATGTATATTAACAATTGAACATCAACCATTTTTATTGTTTTATTTTTTTTAATTAAAATTAAATTATTATATCATTATTTTACAGATATTTACCATAATTTAAATTAAAAATTATGTATTTTAGGGATTGAACATTGGTAAATATTCTTTAGCTGTTTTAACTTTGACTACCTGTATTTTTACACATAGCAATTTCGGGTTTTGTTGGTTATTTTGCATTTAACCTTACAATTATTTTATTTTATTTTTTTAAAAATCTTAATTTTTCAAAGAAAAAAAATTACATTTAAAAAAAAGTTTAAGTTTTTAAATGCAGTAAAAAAAATCTAATTATTTTACAGATATTTGCTGTTATTTTCATGTTTTTCTTTTTTTTAACTCTTTTTGTTTTTTTCTTTTAAACCACATTTTGTTTTTCATCGTATGATTCTGATCATTTCTTACTTGTTGATCCGGTTTGTCCTCCGTCCTCTCCAGGGGCTACTACATCGACTACGGGAAGGACAAGAAGGAGGTGAAGCGGCGCGACTGGAAGCGACACGAGTTCCACTACGACAACGTGATCTGGGCTCTGCTCACGCTGTTCACCGTCTCCACCGGAGAGGGATGGCCTCAGTGAGTAGAGCCGGGTGCTTCTCACCACATCGGCCTTCTCACGGAGCCTCATTAGTCTTTTATGAGCGTTGGAACCTTTTAACATCTGCCTTGTTCTTTGGTGATAGTCAAACGTGACCTCTGATGGGAGGAGATGTGATTAATTCCACAGAGATTCTGCCGTTGGTTATCTGTGGGTTTGTGTCGTTAATCGACTGGAAATAAATGGAAGTGATTTCCTGCACAGTGGAGCAAAATTTGATCTCCGCCCCTGAAAGTTTCACCAGAACTAGAAGCTATAATCTGATCACGTTTTCTGAGCTCTGGAGTGTCGATTGTCCTGCACAGATGGGAGCAGTTTGACGTGTTTTCTGTGAATGAAATCATCTTTGTTGTTGTTCGTCGTGGTTTTATTCCTGCATTAATCTTCATGCTTCCTTCCAGAGTCCTGCAGCACTCCGTCGACGTGACGGAGGAGAACCGAGGGCCGAGCCACGGAAACCGCATGGAGATGTCCATCTTCTACGTCATCTACTTCGTCGTCTTCCCCTTCTTCTTCGTCAACATCTTCGTGGCTCTGATCATCATCACCTTCCAGGAGCAGGGCGACAAGATGATGGAGGAGTGCAGCCTGGAGAAGAACGAGGTGACGCCACAAACACGACTCTGAAGCTGAGCTGCAGTTAATGAAGCATGCAGGCAGCAGTTTAGGTGGAATTTATTCATGTGATCAGCTGGATGGAGTTTAATGTGCTGCTTAGAACGATGTTAACACGGTTCTGATCCGAACGATAATGTTAGAAACTGGTCACGTGGAAATAACCGATCACAATAATGAACTACAACAAACTCACTTCTAGTCTTTTTCCTTTTGTTGTTGCTTCACTCACATTTATTTTTTCTTTTCTTTCTGTTTTTACTATTTGTTTTATGCAAAGTATAATTTCTTTTACCCTCTAAATCCCAAAAACTCACCTACAGGCTCGAAAGGCGTGTTATGTTTTTTAAAAATGCTAAAATTACACCATTTATCAGAGATAGAAGCTGTAAAACAGAAATATTTGGTGATTTTTTACCTTCATGACAGCCTGTATATATATTATGTGTGACATACGGTTTGATCAGGAAAAATATCCAAACCTGTGTTTAATGTCGTCATCAGAATCACTTCGTTCTACACGTCTCATTTAACAATTAGAAATATAATCCTTATAATTTAAAGAAAATGCACTAAAAATAAACCATGTGGACTAAGAGCGTTCTGTAAAAAAGTAAAAATTCTGTGCTGTTATATACAAATGAGAAGCCTTGATTGGTTTAGCTGCGACCAACAGTCGGGTCAGAAAAATTCAGAGAGTTTTGAGGTGAACCATTAAAATCAACGGTACTGGATCAATAGAGCAAACAGAGCGTGACTTAAAAACAGTAAATATAACAGCGAGTTGTTGCAAGATGCATTCAGCAAACATGTTTCTGGAGCTGATGTGCAGAGTGGAGAGAAAAAGTCTGTAGAGGTTGTAAAAATGGAACACCAGTTGTGATATTGATTCCATTTTTGTTTTCTAATGATTTATGGTTTTATAACTGAATCGTCTTAACCATCCTGGTTGTTCTGCCTCCATTCAGGACTTTATGTTGAAGTGAAAAATGAAGAAGAAAAACGTGACAGAATCCACAAGAAGAATAAAAAACCTGTTTGGGCTTCAGAGGGTTGAAACAAACAGAAACAGGCCGTCGTGTTTTTCACCTGTTCCCTTGTTGTTCTGTTTCCTGTGTCTCAGAGGGCCTGCATCGACTTCGCCATCAGCGCCAAGCCTCTGACCCGGTACATGCCTCAGAACCGGCACACGTTCCAGTACCGCCTGTGGCACTTTGTGGTGTCGCCGTCCTTCGAGTACACCGTCCTCGCCATGATCGCCCTCAACACCATCGTGCTGATGATGAAGGTGAGAGAAGGTCGACTCTGGGGGACGTTTTTTTTTTTTTTTTTTTTTAACGAGAACAGAATTTAGGATGAAGGACAAGCAAGAAACTGTGCACTGTAAAAAAATAAATAAAAAATTATAATATTATTTTTAATTTTTGAGTTGCAAAATAATGAAATATAAGATACTGCAAAAACAAAAATACTGAAATGTTGAAAAACCAAAATATATATATATATTGTATATTTCCGTATTAATAATAATGTAAAATGTAAATGATAATGTAAAAATAATAATAACATATTGCAAAAAGACATTTTATTTTGTTATTGTGTTTTTTTACAATCAACATGTAAATTAACCCTTAAATAATATTTAATATTAATACTTTTTTTTTTGTAATTTTGCTATATGTTATCTGCAAATAAACAAAACAGAGAAAAGCTGATGGTTTAAAAGAATTTTGTACCATTTTTTTATCCTTTAGATTCACTTTTTTTAAATTAAGAAAGTTTCTTTATTATTTTTTCTATTTATTTTATTAATTTTTTTCTGTGATTTTACTGCATTTTATGTGCAATTCAAGAGTTAACAAACTGGGGAAAATCTGTAAAATAATGATAAATATCAGTAACATAATGATATTCTTTGGCAATTTAGATACAGTAAAAAAATAAAATTACATCAAACTTTGCAAAAGAACAAATCGATATTAATATCAATACAGATATTTGATTTGATCATTATTTAATTAACAGTTAATGAATACTGTTTTCTATGATTTTACTCGATATTAGTTGTAATTTAACAAAACAGGGGAAAAAGTAAAATAAAAGTAAATTATTCCAAAGAATACAGTTAAAACCCTTGTTTTTTTTTTTTTTTACAGTGCAGCTGATTCTCTGCGTCTCGTCTCTTTCTTTAAGCAACGTCTCATTTTCTTCACGTCTTTGCTTGTTATCAACAGAAACACACCTTCGTCATGTCTCTCAGCCTCTGATATGTTCTGTTATGAACTCCTAACACCTAAAAATAAGCCCAGATGATGTTTTGTGTTCGCGTCGTGCCTCCTCCGTCCTCCATCCTCCCCTCAGCTCTGTTTATTTCCAGCCCTCTGTTCTGGGGCTGCTCTGCTTGTTCAGACGGTCGCTCGGTCAGACAGACGCTGAGTGACTCAGCCCGTATTAAATATTGATCTATAATGTCCAGGCGCTGCTATTTAGCATGACCTCATTAACGGTGGCTGCCGGCCTCGGAGGAATGACTCCTTTTATAGTGCGACAGATGAGAGGTGCGCAGACAGAAGCTCTATTTATGGGTCTGCAGGAATCTTCCATCAACCTGCAGATCTGCAGGGCTCCAGTTCACGCTGATATCACGGAGCAGCGTCGGGAATATTCCACCTTTCATGTGGCTGGGCTCAGCTTTAACCCCTCCACGCCTGTGTTCACAGTACTACTCCGCCCCGCCGGCGTACGAAGCCGCCCTGAAGCACCTGAACACGGCGTTCACCGTCCTGTTCTCGGTCGAGTGCGTCCTCAAGATCATGGCCTTCGGCTTCCTGGTGAGAGAGAAACTGAGCAGCAAACAGGCTGAATGTGAAACTGAAGCACTGTGTAGAGAAATGACCCAGAACGTCTCTCCTGTCTGAACAGAACTACTTCAGAGACACGTGGAACATTTTTGACTTCATCACCGTGTTGGGAAGCATCACTGAGATCGTGGTCGACCTGCAGGTAACAGAAACACAAAAAGACGATGAACTTTTCCAGTTTAGTTCAACTTTATTCCCACTAAACCCATCAGGGGCCTTCAGCTCTGATTCTGAAACTCCAGAAGTCTACCTGGATTATTCTATCCAGCAGTAAGATTGTTTTTGTACCTGCTGAACGTTTTCCACAACATGAAGTGAAACTAATGAATATAATTTATGCACAAAATCTTGCAGTAATCATGCCAGAAAAAACACATCAAACAATTATGGAATACAACAACCTTAAAAAAACTATAAAAACTGTGAAAATCATCTCATATATCTCTAAAGTAATGATGCTGAGCTGATGTAAATGCAGCAAAACTGTAAAATGTTGTAAAAATGAATTCATATTTGTAGAAATACAGATTTTTGTGGCCAAATATTTTATTTAAAAACTCATTTTGTATGTTTAGTTTTGGATTACTGTGACGTGCAACTACATGTGGTGCAGAAAACATCACGAGCTGACGTCTGAAGTTTTTTTTGTTAATATCAGCTCAAAAAACGGACTTTTCATGACGAATTTATTTTTGTTTATTTATACTTCAACTTACCGATAATCACAGAACATTTGATCGACTCTTCCAGTATTACAGATTCTGAATCAGTGACATGACGAGAAATAAGAGTGAAGATTTCAGGTTTTTATCTTTAATAGTTCCTCAGATGTTGTCGTCCAAACGGCCTCAAAGTTTAATGTGAGAAAGAAAAAAAAAACTGCTGGAAGAAAGTCAAAAGGCAATTTAAAAAAAAATAATAGCTCAGAAAGTATTTGATGTATTAAACCAATTATTCAGAAATATCATTATAAATATCCATAATTTAAGATTTCTGTTAAATCTACAGTTTCCTTTGGCCGACACTTTTATCCAGAGCGACATTCATCTCAGAGCAGATATCATATGTTAAGTCAGAGCTGGTGGAGCAGAAACGTGATGATTTGAGATGGACTAACTCTCTGAAGCTTCCCTCCTCTGCTGCTCCTCCGTCAGTTCGTCGATACGTTCAACATGAGCTTCCTGAAGCTGTTCCGAGCCGCCCGTCTCATCAAGCTGCTGAGACAAGGCTATACCATCCGGATCCTGCTTTGGACCTTCGTCCAGTCCTTCAAGGCGCTGCCTTACGTCTGCCTGCTCATCGCCATGCTCTTCTTCATCTACGCCATCATCGGCATGCAGGTCAGAACTGAATAAATAGGATTTATGCACACTGTAGATTTTAAAAAAGGAGGAGAAAAAGTGAAAATCTGAAAGAGTGCAAGAAAAATGTGTAAAAAAACAGTGAAAATACCAGCAAATATCTGTAGAATAATAATATTTTTAGCTGATTTAAAACGGTGTAATTTTACGGTTAACCTTTATTTAAAAATAAAAAAATAAATACTGTTTGTAGAATTACAAACTTTTAATGAGGACATTATTCACAGTTTTGTCCTGTTTTTTTAATGTCAACAAGTAAATTAATACGATACTGAATAATAAAGGCTAATATTGTACAGTTTAGGGAAAATAAACAAACAAGAGTTTGATCTGTAGAGTTTTTGTTTTACTAAAATTCAGCTTAGATGGTTTTATTCGCTGCTTCCTGGAGAGCATCAACCAGGAAGCTGCTGGTTATCAGCTGCATGGAGCGTTCTGACTACTGAATGTGTTTGACGATATGACACGGTTCTTCTTTTTACATCCTTTCATCATTTTTGTGTTTTATTTTTTTCCGTCTGTGTGAATCAGGTGTTTGGGAACATCAAGCTGAATGAGGAGACTCACATCACCCAACACAACAACTTCAAGACCTTCTCTGGAGCTCTGATGCTGCTCTTCAGGTGAGACGCTGCGACTCCTGCAGACTTTATCACTTTAATCAAAGATCTAATCTGAATCCAGACAGACCTGCAGCCCAACAGGTTTCTATGCTGTAGTCTGGATGATGTTGCTAGGTTACCGTCAGGATGCTGCTCAGCGTCGGAGCAGACGGATTCTGCTGGAACCAGGTTCCTCCTCAGCGAACAGTTTCAGAAACTTTGAAGGTTTTTCTGTTTGAAAAGTAAATAACGAGACGAACGTTTGGGTTCAAGTGTTCATGTTGTGTTTGTTTCTTCAAGTTTGAGTTTGTTTTGGTGCTCTGGAGAAATAAATCTGTGCATCTGAAGGACTTTTAAACTCTCGCTGTCTGAACTCTACACGTGACTTTACACAGGTAGAATAACTGACGTGTGATATAATCCAACAACGAACACTGATGACATGTTTGTCCTGTATGACAGGAGTGCGACGGGGGAGTCGTGGCAGGAGATCATGCTGTCCTGTCTGGGGGGACAGCAGTGTGAGACGGACCCTCAGGCGGCGCTGACCACCGACCAGGAGGGCGGATGTGGATCCGACTTCGCCTATTTCTACTTTGTCTCCTTCATCTTTTTTAGCTCCTTTCTGGTAAGACGAGGAACCGGAACGAATCCTCCTGTGACCAGAAAGTTAAACAATGCTTTGATCGGGACATTTTCTAACAAGAAAACCTCTTTAACTGCTGTTCCCTCTGAAACCGTCTTCACACGTAGCTTCTGCTTCCTGTGTGTCGTCCAGATGCTGAACCTGTTCGTGGCCGTGATCATGGACAACTTTGAATATCTCACGAGGGACTCGTCCATCCTGGGTCCTCATCATCTGGACGAGTTTGTCCGGATCTGGGGGGAGTATGATCGCGCCGCCTGGTCAGTGACTCTTTATTACAGATAAATGTTTCATCTGGGTGCAAATAAAGGTTCATTTTTCAGGAATAAACAGTCAAAACAAGCTTTAAAAACTCGATTTGAAGTGTTGTAATGAAATAAAGTAAGAATGAGATGATTCCAACTGAAGATTTACTTTATTCAGTTGTTTTTTAAATATTTTTTTACACCATATAAAAGTGATTTGTGATCATTTTACTCACCAAGGGTGGGAAAAACACACTAATCTGTCTCTTGTGAAGGAGCATATATGCAGGAAGGAGACAGGTAGAGATGGAAATAGCTGAGAAACAACTGTGTTTTATGCTCAGAAGACAAGTTCAGGACGTTTAAATCAGCTTTTCAGCATCTTGTAGATATTGAACTGTGGATGTTGTTTCCTAAAATTTGAGACACTTTGTGTGAAAACGAGTTGAAACTAGATTAGAAGCTGATCAAACTTAAACAAGTGAGATGTGGAAACCTGAAGCCTGCTGCAGAGACAGCTTGTGTACATTAGATCGACTTTTAGGCATTAAGATTCTTTGCATATACACAGATTGTTAATTTTTAATTAAGTGGGAACGTGTACGTGTCATGTTGAGAAATTTTGTTTTATTTATAAATCTTCTAACATGCCTGGAAGGAATCTCTATGTGAGAAAGTCGACGGTGAAACTCTAAATTACGTCTGCATGAACAGTAAAATGTCAACGATGAATCACTGCTGATCTATCCTGGTTCATTATAACGATGATTCAAGGTAAATACTGTTATTGTAGCTGCTCCAGTGGGTTTTGTGAAGCAAAAACTAACTGATAACGAAGCCTCTGGTGTAGCTTAAACAGTCATTTAAACACACGGTGTGGACAAGTGGATGTAAAAGTGATTTGGGGTTTTTTTTGCAGCGCAGCATCTGACAGATTAACCCTCTGAAGTCACAGCCGGCTCACGTTTTCACTCATTTTTTACTGCAATATAAAGTCCTGCACCTTTATGGTAACAGAACAACCATGAAGGAGGAAAGAGAAATGTCTTCTGTGCAGTGGGACACACTTAGAAAACCATAAATCGTTTAAAAAGTGAGTGACAGAGGGATTATTTTACAACAACAAATTAAAACAGCACATGCACAATATTTTTCTAAGTGTCCATTTTTGTTCACATGACTGGGAAAGTTGTGCCTCTACATTCTTTAAACATTTTACCAACTAGATTTTTTACTTTTTTTTTGCTAAACTTGTCTCCTCTGTGTAGACACTGGCTGCAGTTCAGCTGAATAGTCCCTGAGTTTTAGTCACAAGACTGTTGGTTCCAGTTGAGTCACTTATAACGTCCTGGTTGTGCAGAATTATTTGTTTATGACCGAATCTAGCGAGTAAACCTTTTATTTTCTGCACATTTTTAAACGAGACGTGCTATTTTACAGCTTAGATGCGGATATTTTTTTTAAAAGAAGCTGAATGTGACAGATGAGTGGTTCGAGGGATGCTGGAAATCTGAAAATATTACAATTATTTTAGTTTTTACAGTTTCTGGCTCTGGTGAAGGGTGTAATTTTGGTGATTTTTTATTTGTTTTTTGTTTACTCACATGTTTGTCTAAGAGACCTGCAGGTTATTATTGGTTAACAGCAGTTGTAAGTATTCAGTGATGATCCTTTAACCAGTTTAACCAACATGTTAGAAGCTGTATTGCATTCGACTGGTATTGTTTTATATAAGATTCCAGTTTGTTGTTTAAAACCCTAAAGTTTCAGGACGGCGCCGCTCCGCCCTCGCCGTGTCGTCCACGGTGACGTCTTAACGCTCATGTTGTTCTCTCCAGCGGTAGGATCCACTATAAGGAGATGTACAAAGTTGTTCGCACTATCTCGCCTCCCCTGGGCTTTGGGAAGAACTGCCCCCACAGGGTGGCCTGCAAGGTTTGGTTCCCCCCAAACGTCCCCTCTGCCTCCTTCATGTAGGATCCTTCCTGACTCCCTCCTCTCCCTCCTTCCTGCTCCTCCCTTCGCCTCGCTCCACCTTCGGGGGTTTTTACTCCGGTTAGAGAATGACGATAGCTCGGCCTCGGGGTACTAAGGCACCGGATCCGCTCAGGACAAACTCAACAGGTTCAATTCAGAATTTGAGCGAATCCGGTCTCTTTCTACCTCTTGGATCTGGTTTAAAGATGTTCTGAAGTGTTTAACGTCCAGATCCAGGGAGGCTGTCATTCCTTTTCTCATCTCGTCTCCCGGGTTTTCTCCTTCTCCCAGATTTCTATGCCCCGCTGGCAGCATAGAAAGACGACAACCTGTTTGATTTCTTTACTCTCTCCCTGTGTGTGATGCCTTGGAATAACCCTCTCTCTTGTATCTCCTCCATTTCCTCGCTCCTCTCCTTCACCCTCCATCCGCCGCTCTTTTTTCCTCCCTCGAATCCACCCTGATTCAATTTCTCCTCCAACATCATCATCCCCCCCTCTTCTCCTCTCCCCTCTTCCTCATCCTCATCCTCATGGCTCCCTGGCGCCCCCAGTGGTCGTATCCATTACACTGACATGTATGAGATGTTGACCAACATGTCGCCACCTCTAGGCCTGGGCAAGAAATGCCCCTCCAAGGTGGCATATAAGGTAGACAAACCCCAGAGGCCAGCAGGCGCTGCCTTCATATTTGAATCAGAGACAAGCGAACCTCATTTTGTGTGTCGTACATTGGACAAGCGAAGCCTTTTTTTTATTTCGTGTTGATTACATGACGCAGTATTGCTTTTAAGTTCTTTAAGTGTTTGTCCATTGGCAGACGCTGCGGTAATGAGTTGCCTGTTCGCTTTGCATCTTGGCAGAAAACTAAGACGTCGTTCTGTGTTTTTGCTGGTTTTCCTAAAGCCAGAAGAAAAAAAAAAAAAAGAAAAAGAACATTAATGAGGAAGTTGTTAAACATCTACATGCTGAATGTTGCAGGAATCAGACGTTCTCGTGTCTCTCACACTTCTTTGTTTCCTCCATCTTCCTGTCTGCATGTGCCTCCTGCCACCGTGTGCTGTTTGCATGCTCATCGCACTTATATCTATATGTTTAAATTAAATGAACTGTGTAGCGTCTGATTACAGAAGGACAGGAAGAGGCAGGAGTAATATTTCTGTTTTTAAATGCATTTGAAGACATCAGATTTGTTCTGGTCAGACTGGAATTTTTTAATTAAAAGTTTAAAAAAATGTTGATGTTAAAATGTGTATTTCTAAGAGTTTCCTTCATCTCAGGAAATAATTACTCGCCAGCCGTTCTGTCCTCCTGAAACCGTCTGTGTGCTCTGATTTCAAAGTTAATCAAAAGAAGTCAGTTTGTTTTTCTGATTTACCTCAAATTTTATCAGCATAAAATATAAAGATAGGTCTGAAATTTTAGATTGATTTATCAAATAGGAACAGAAAACATTTCAAACTCCCACTTTCAGCACATTTTTCATTTAAATCTGAGGCTGTTTAAACGACAATATCTCAGGAGCTATTTAATATAAAAACCTGCAATTTTCACCGTTAATTCTCATCATGTCATCAATTTAGAATCGACAATATTAGATGATTAGATCAAAAAGTCTAAATATGGGGAATAAAATAAGTCAGCTAGGGATGTTTTCTGAACCATATGGAGCTGCATGTCAAAATAAAACAAAACATAGAGATTAAAATGGTTTTAATTTGAAATATGTGGTCAGAAAAAATGACAAAACCTATTTTTATCATTCAGTAATATTAATGATATTAACTAGTTAATTGAAATTAGCAAAACATTTATATTAACATTTGTGAACTAGAAGCATGATGTTTTAGTGTCGTTTTTTTAAGCTCATTTCCTTGAAATTTCAGAATCTAATTAACTCCAAAAGTGAATATTGACGAGGAGGCATTAGTGTTAAATATATCTTATGTACCATGCTGTCAAAATAAAATGAAATGAAAAATATTTATCCCTGAAGGGAAATTCAATAAAAGCATTTGAGCCTTTTGTTAGTGTAAAATCTTAGCTGTATAGCATTTATTGTCTTTTCATTTGATTTGATTGGGTTTCTTTGCTAAATCAGTCGTTTTCTCAGCATAAAAAGCTTTAAAAAATACTCAGAGTTCCACTAAATCTGAGTTTATCTCCAGACGATCAGGTTCTTCTCAGTTCAGGGTGTCATCGTGTGTTTCCGCTCTGACTGGATGTTTCCTCTGCCGCCTTCAGAGACTCGTGCTGATGAACATGCCCGTGGACGACGACATGTCCGTCCACTTCACCTCCACCCTCATGGCTCTGATCCGCACCGCCCTCGAGGTCAAGATCGCCAGAGGTCGGACGCCACGTCCAAACGCAGTGTGTTTACTGGGATGTGACGGTGCAAATTAATAACTGTGTGTGTTTTACATCCAGGAGGGGAGGATAGGAACCAGATGGACTTGGATCTGCAGAAGGAGATCAGCGTCATCTGGCCTCATCTGTCCCAGAAGACGCTCGACTTGCTGGTTCCCATTCACAAAGGTCACGGAGCAAAGAAACTAAAGCTTTTTTTCTGTTTTTCGTGTCGGAATAATTCTCGTAGCAACTGGACTTGTTTGAGTTCCTTGAAGATGGTTCAAAGACTAGTTGGGAGTTCCAGATACTGATATCCTTAAGGAGCCATTAACACCTGAGTTTCAGTTGGGGGTTTGTTGCTCCTCCCCCTCGTTATGGGTCGTTAGTGCTCCCCCTGACACCATGGGGTTTGTTAGGCTCTTTTGTGGCTAGACGTGGATGTATCTTAAGATCTCCTTTAGGATATCCGTACCTGGAACTCCCAACTAGTCAGGCAGAGCTGATGAAGCCACATGGATGAGAGGTGGAACGTCTTCAAGGAACTCAAGCAAGTCCAGTTGCTACGATTAATCTACCAGAACAACCACGACCTGGACGACTGAGAACCTTCACAGACTTGTTTCATGAGTCCTGGAGGGTTTGTGTGCAATCTGACGGTTTCTAATTTCTCCACTTGCAGCCAGCGACATGACCATCGGGAAGATCTACGCCGCCATGATGATCATGGATTACTACAAGCAGAGCAAAGCCAAGAAGCTTCGACAGCAGCTCGAGGAACAGGTGCTTTCTGTTTTAGTCACCTGTAAATCACACCCAGGTCTTCTGGAGTCGAATGTTAAACACACTAGTGAAGGTCTTCTGTGTGAGAATTTGGAGTTTAACCACCAGAAGACTTTCCGTCACATAAAAATAATTACAAGAGATTCTAAATGAGTTGAAATTGGAATATTGTTGGAGGTTTTTTTATGGTTTTATGTTTTTGTTTTTTGTTCGTTTTTCATTTTTGCTAGCCTGTGGGTACGTACTGCTGATTGTGCATCATGTGTTGAAGTTTCTATTACTTCCTGAATGGATCTTGAAAATGTAAACAGCTGTTGGTTGGTTGGTTGGTTGGTTGGTTGGTTGGTTGGTTGATTGGTTGGTTGGTTGGTTGATTGGATGGTTGGTTGGTTGGTTGGTTGGTTGGTTGATTAGTTGGTTGGTTGGTTGGTTGGTTGGTTGGTGGGTTGTTCTCCTGTTCATCTTTCTGTTTTTTGTTGCGTCACTGGAACTCTAATCCAAAGTAAGATGGTTAAATTCGTCTGCTGGTCTTCCTTTTTTTTAAAATAGTGTTAAAATTGATCAATAATGATCAATAACGACTAAAATGAAGCTGTTTATTGTGTTGAACCTTTCAGATGTGTGGTCCAGCCCGACTGTAAAGTATTTTTAGCGCCTCATAAAGCTGTTGCTCTGCTTCCTTGTTGCTCCCTCTGGAATAATAATCTTAAAAACATCCTTTACTGTTATTTTCAGGTCTGTGCATGTCTGACATTAGAGAGAAGAACATCTCTGAAGTTGTGACGCAACCTGATTTCTGAATCTCTAGTTTAAACCGAGCCATAGAAATACAAACACACAGACTGGATCTGTTCAGGACTGAGCTGCTGGTGTTTCATGGAGGGATGCTGATGGATGTTCTTCTGTCTTTTCCCTCCACAGAAACACGCCCCCATGTTCCAGCGAATGGACGCTTCCTCCCTCCCTCAAGAAATCCTATGCAACGCCAAATCCCTGCTGTTCCTCAGACACAGCGCCGGATCTGCTCTGTAAATATTCAGCCTCTGACCTGAACTAGTCATTTACAACGACAGAAGCAGTGACACGTTGGTGTTTTGTGGTTGTTCTGATGGTTCTTGTCTCTGCAGCACCAGAGGAGGCTTCGTGGCTCTCAGCCCGATCTCCCCTCAGGAGATGTTCCTGCAGCCTCTGTCTCGATCCAGGGAGGAGAAGGAGGAAGAGGAGGAGGAGGACGATGACTACCGCTCCCCGTACCACCCCTACCTACATCACCACCACCACCACCACCATCTACACACTCTGGTACCCTCAACAAGTCTTCTGAAGCTACGCAGTTGTTTATTGATATAAGACAAAATAACATCCATCAAGCAAAGAAAACTCACTTTTTATCACATCTTTATCAAAGCATCAGTATTTGTTTGGTCTTTCAAGGCTTTTTTGGGGTATTTTTTTGATATTTTTCTTTTATCAGGTTCCTTCTGCTCGACCTTTTCTGATTTGCTTAAAACTTTTTTAGCACGTCTAAAATGTTGTCTGTGAAATATTTGATAAATCCAGTAATTTCCCCCCAAAAACTACATTCATATATTGCCAGTCGACCCACTTTCAGCACTTTTTTTTGTTGTTTTTTGGGGGATTTTTTTGTGCACATTAAAATTTGAGCAAAGTTTAAATCATATCTCTGAAACTACTCAAGATTTTATTGTTTCGTTTGTTATTTCTCATCATGCTGTTGATTTAGAATCTGCAATATTGATAACTGTTTTTAAAACTCCTGAATGCTGTGTTTCTTGGATCAGGCTATCGAGAAATATTTTTTTACATTTTGTGGTGCAGCTTGTGTTGCTTCCTCAATCAAGTTATGGAAGTTCAACGACAATAACTTTTTCATATTTTTCATATTAAACATATTCTGTAAGTTTTCATTTGTATTATAGTGACGTGCAGCTACATATAGTTTAGAAAATATCACTAGTTGACTTCTGCATTATCAGGTTTTTTGTTAATGTGAGCTCAAACATGGGACTTTTCATGACAGTTTCAATTATTTACATAATTCAACTCAACCATAATCAGTAATTATTTAAGCTACTTGTCCAATATTGCAGATTGTAAGTCAATGTAATGGTAAGAAATAGCTGTGAAGATTTCAGGTTTTTATCTTTACTAGTTCCTGAGATATTATTGTCCAAACATAGCCTCGATTTTCAGTGTCTTTGGGATACCCAGCTAAAATTGCACAAGTATCTCTATAAATATCTATATTTTATGCCATCTATTAACTTGTCAGACAAGTCAGAGGTTGTCGAGCAGAAGTTGTTCATAAAAATCTGATGATGTGAGATAAATTGCCTCCTCTGTGTTGTCTGTGCAGGTGCCAGAAGTCGTGGAGTATAACCAAGTGATGCAGCAGGCCCGGCAGGACCCCACGCTTATGAAATCACCTCAGAGGACAGCATCCATCAGAGCCTCCTCCATGCCCCGACTGGCTGTTGATCCACAGGTAATACAGAGTTTCTCCAAACCTACATTCAGTACTGAACTAATCTTGCATTAGTGGGTGCTTTAAAAATCAATGAACAGCTAAAATGCACGTCAGTCTTTCATGCAGATTTGCTGCCTGACAGCGCTGCATTGAAACTATTTTAAAGCAGCCACCAGCGAGGGCGTTTGTTTGCTGATTAGGTGTCACTCGCGGTTACTGAAGCGATTCGTCTCCCGGTTTGTTTTGCTTGTTCGTAGCCGGGGATGTCGGCGGACAGTAAGCTGATGAAGCGCTCCTTCTCCACCATCGGAGACCAGTGCGTGAACGGCCTCTGGCAGGAGCAGCACTCTCTGGAGAGAGTCAGTCCTGATGGTACATACCGACCCCGGCAGAGGAGCTACAGAGGTCACTAAACCCACATCACAACACCGAAACCACTCCCACAGTCCCGCTCACACTCAGACTGATGTTTTGTTCTGGAGGCTTAAAGATGCCACGTGGAGAAAATCTGTTTTCATTGAGTTCTGTGGTTTAAAACTTGTTATAAACTCCAGATATGAAAACATTTACTTCTGCAGTTTTTCAAGCCCCCCTACAACTAGATAACCTCCCAGTTTTAAAAGCCAGTAAGAATTCATAATCTAACTGAGGAACCAGTCGTCATCCAGCTTGAGCTGAGGCCCCGCGCTGCTTCTGCTGTTGATTGTAAGAGTGAACACAAGAGGCTTCGTGCACTTCCAGCATCTGAGGAACTAAACAATCAGTGGATTAATTCATTATTGACGGCAGTGCCACCAAAATAATTGGAAAATCCTCAGTGTTAGCATGCTGTGCAACGAATGTGGCTACCATTAGCATTAGCTCTGATTGTTGGAGCTTTCAGAGCTGGTGGAAACTTTTATTTAAAGTGGGTTAAAGTTAAACTCAGCTGCTGTTTAGCTTCTCTCCTGCTCACACGTACTTCTTTTTAAAACAGCAGAAATCCCAACAAAGCTCTTCTTTAATGAATTTGCTTAAAAGTTGCACAATATGGGACCTTTAAATTGATGTTTTTTCAAAAGTGGGAAAGAATACAGGAGCTAGTGTTGGATAAAAATATATATTAATTGGAATTACTGTTAACTTTGATGTTAAAATTCACTCGTTTAGTTTCTGTAAATGTACAGACGAATTCATTGCATACTGAATGTTGTTCTAGTTATTTGGATTTAAGTTGTGTTTACATCTGGATAAAGCCCTCGACCTGAATCGTCTCTTCTTTAAGGGAGCCTGAAAACATACAATTATGAATTTCCATCACATCCGATGTTGCTTGAATGGTTGTTGTAAGAATGATATTCAGTTCCATCACTAAATCTATAAATTCATACACAAAACAGGACTGGGCTCTTAAACTAGGAAATCTGGGTTTAGTCATTATTTTTGTGGGAGGATCTGCATCTGACTGAAATCTGAAATATGACTCTCAGGCCCGAGAATCAACCACAGAGAACCCAGCAGTCACGAGAGAGGACGATCTAAGGAGCGGCGCCACCTGCTGTCGCCCGACGTGTCGCGCTGCAACTCCGAGGAGCGAAGTCGAGACCCTTCGTACGAGAGGAGGCGATCCCGATCACCCAGCGAACGACAAGCGCAAACCTTACAGCAACAGGTGGGCGAGCACGCCGATGAATGAAGGTGCTCGTAGCAGTGATGCTATTTTTAAGTTCTACAGAGAACATTTTAGCGAAACCCAAAATAAAAAGCAAAAAAAATAAAAGTTCCTTCCTCCTTCTGAGTCCCTTCTATTATAATGCGTTTAATATTTGTAATTGTGTACTGTTGGTCAGAGAGAACATCAGCTGAGACCTTGAGAGCTCTGATAGGCGTTCCTCACAGTTTTCTGATGTTTGATTCATCGATAATAAAAATATTCATCAGTTGCAGCTCTAATATTGTTCTGTTTCCTGCCACCAAACCAAATTACTCTGTGAAGAACCGTCCCTTAAATAAAAGTATTCTTCAGTTGGCACTTTGAAGAACCAGAGAGCTTCCTAAAGAACCATTTAAGAACCATTGTTTTTCTAAAAGTACAGCTTTAGTGAATTCGACTCTTACGCACCAGGTTTTGTGTTTGTGACCCAGAGTTAGAATCAGGCTCTGGAAGGAATCCAGCAGTCCTCCGTCTGTCCTGCAGCTGAAACACTATTTAACGAGGTTTTCTTCGCTCTTGTGTCATTTGCAGGGTAACACTTCAGACAGCCCTGCACACTCAGCCTCAGAGTCCGGTACCCCCCGGAACCGGCGCCAGCTGCCCCAGACCCCCTCTCGCCCGCGGCCTTACATCTCCTACTCTCCCCTCATCTGCCGACCCCACTCGTCCCCCACACCAGCAGCCTCCTCTGAGGGACAGACCCAGCCCGAGGATGGCCCGTCTGGCCCCGCCGAGGCCCCGTGGAGGTCCGACAAGGACGCCGGGCCCTTGTCTGCGCTTCAGGGGTCCTCCGGAGGTCAGGTTTTAGGGCCGAGCCACCCGTCTCCTCACCGCTACATATCGGAGCCCTACCTCCCCTTCCACGAGGACCTCAGTGGCGGGACAGCAGGCGACAGGCAGGAGACCCTCACCTTTGAGTCCGCCGTGGCCACCAGCCTTGGACGGGCCAACGCCATAAGCTCCGCCCCTCAGCTCAGACACTCCTGGCAGGTTCCCAACGGGCATTTCCGGAAGCACCAGTCGAGTCCGGCCGGCGCCAGCGAGCTGCTCAGTGACACGGACGAGGACGACCGCTGCTAAAGACGAAGAGGACGCACCGAGACGCTGCGCCTCACGGCGGGGCACCACGAAGGCTTTAGCTCCTCCACGGCTCTGAGAACCTCAAGTTCTCCGCAGCAGTAGCATTACAGGCAGGACTGAGCACCGTCGCTGTTTGTCTGGACACTGGCGTCCGTCTGCACGTGTCCTCATGTGTGTTTGTCGTAGCCGGAGGGAGCGTGTGGACATGGACATGTGTGTGTGTGTGTGTGTGTGTGTGTGTGTGTGTGTGTGTGTGTGTGTGTTTAATAGAGAAAATTTGCCAAATCAAGAGAACAGCAGAGACTGACTCTAACATTAAGTAGCTCACTGCAGGCAAACCCACGCGTTGCCAAGCCTTCCCACACAAGTCAGTGTTTTGATTGTTATCTGAACAAAATAGGGTGAGATGTCGATCCAAAGTGTCCAAACGTTAGAGTTGAATCCGAGATTTAAGTGCATTTTCGTGTAAGTGACCATAGCGGTAGCATGTAAACATGTAATGAGATGAATGTATTTCAGTTCTATGTTCAGGTCATTCCAGAGGGTTGCTGTTAGTCTTTACTGTGCGTAGTCGTAAGAGTAGAAACGAAACTGAGGCAGATTTAGCCACATTTTGCCAGTTTGTAACCGGCAACCAGCCACTCCCAACAGTTCCTGTTTACAGCAAGAATATCCTCAACGTTCATGGGCATTAAACAGTCACCAATCAATACATATTCAGACTAGGAAATCAAATTCCAGACCATGAAATGAGCTAAACCTCTAGTGACGGTAGTTATTTTTCTGCCATAATGTGAAAACAATGATAGCGTCGGTTGAGCACAGTTCATGTTGAGAAAGATGCTGAACACAATAAGAGAGGCTTCGTCTCAGGATACCGGACCGTTGAGTTTGTAATATACTGTTCACTTTGGACCCAAAAGGAAAGTCCTGTGAGGATCAGAAGGACTGTAAGTGTCTCTTAACCCAACAGGTCAGTCAACATAATACCAACAAGATCATCACAAGCACTCGCTGAGGTCTGAACCTGCTCCATTCGTGGACTCTAATGAAGACCAACCATCTGCAGGAAACTAGGGGGGTGTTGTAGCTCCGTGAAGCCAAACGGATGTTCGTTCTCCGTGTCCGAGAGGTGACGAAAGCCATTTTCTTCCTGTACATAGAGCCGGGGATGCGTCCTCTCCAGGATGTGCTGCCTTCTTTGACGTGACGGCGAAGGTGATGAGAACTTAACGTCCTTTACACGTGTGACGGATGCTTTAACAAAAAAAAAAAAAAGGAATCTCGGGCGCTGTACGGTTTGTCTCTTTGCCACATCGTTCCATCGCCATCGCGGTATCTTTCTGTGCTTTTGGAGTTCTAGTAATTTCCTCATGCATGATCACGGTGACAGAGATGTGTGAGAGAGCTGCCTGGTTCTTCTTGTTTTTGGCGTATCCATGATGTTTTGATTCCATTAGTTTTGAAAACAGCGAATGTTTCTCACTCCCAGCCTTCACTGTCCGATTCTTTGAACATTCCAAACTTTTAGACGATTTGTTGTTCCCTCTGAATAACGTGTATATTTATATCATGTGCTGTTGTGTCGTTCTGATATGTTGAGTTTGAAATGTGAACGCAGGTACGCATCTGGGCTGAGGCTCACCTGCTGGAGCCCCAAACAGAAAGTCCTGCGCTGAAAAAGATGTATTTTAGCAGAGAAACCTCGTCCGAAGTGTGTTGAGTACAAGACCTGATTCATCCAGTACGCGGGTTAGGTTTAGGCTCTGGCCTGTAGTGGTGTAGGACTGTGCTTCACATGTACAGCGCAGCCTAGGACTAAACCTCGATGTCCGTCTGTACAGAACAGCCTAATCTGTGCCTGGGGAAACTCGCCCAAAGGGTTCCCCGTCAAGCCTGGATTTCTTTAGCTAGAGAGTAAATATGTAGTATACACTGTACAAAATAAATCCATGTTTAATTTATTGCACTGTTTATATTTCATTTGATGCCTGTCTATGACTTTAACAAAGGAAGTGTTTACATATCTGTTCAAAGGACCATTAAAGGAGATCACTTGTCTGTCCTGTGCTGGCTCGTGTCTCTGTCCACCAAGTTTCTGCCCAAATTAAACCAGTTTGCACTTCTGTGAGCGAAATGAGGATTATTTTCATGCAAAAAGCTTCTAATTATTCAACTTTGATGCAGAGAGACGAGTGTTTCGGGGTTAAATCAGCAACCGAAGACGGATTTTATCAACAGATTGTCACAGATTGTCTGAGACTGGTGGAAAGAAATGGGTTCAACTGGTAAGTTCTCAAAGTTAAATAAGAAAGAAACGCTTTAAACGTAGAAAAAGGAGAATGAAAGCAACGTGACCACTGTGTCTATGTGACTGGTGGAGTTAACTTCAAATCTTGAGTTTACTGAACTTATTTTCTGAAGTTTAACTAATTTAACTGAGCCAGTTTAACACTTTGACAGCTCATGAGTCGACTTTATACTAATTGATCAACCGGAGTGCAGCTAACTGACATTTTTATGGCAACGAAAAAGGATTTACGAGTTAATGCTTCTTTTTTCTACATCAGCGACACAAAACAAAGCAAATTCAAATGCAAGACGATGTAAATATGACCTGCGGCTCCTATAGATGAGAATAATACACACGATACTGGAGTTAAATGTGACTTTTCATCCTCAGAGTTCACGAGGCCACAGCTGACGGACTTGTTTGTGGAGGCTGGACGCTCTTTCCCTGATGTGTAGGTTGAAGCGGACTCGGCTCAGGGCTTCGTGTTAAACTTGACCTCGGCTGTTTCCACACGGAGAGCTGACGCCGCCTGAATGTGTCGGCTTTGTGATACAGTTAGCAGAAACGTGCGAGGCGTCTCTCGGCGAGGACGCTCTCTAGTCTCTCTGTGACTTTAAATCTGTCCTGTAGATCCGTCTGCTGCCCGAGCGTCCCGGTTAACTCCGGCGTCGGCCTGTTTTTAGGAGTATATGAGGATGACTTTCCTCTAAGTGGAGGTTTATTTGCATACGCGCTAACGTTTCCACGACAGGTTTCCAGACGAGCCGAGTGCGCTGACGTCAACCAGTCCGACAACGGGACGCTATTGGTGGGTTTAAGGCCGGAGGGGGAGGAGCTTATTGGTGAGGAGGTGGAGCCAAGATGCTTCATGAGAGAGAAAACATCAAAAGACAAATGTTATTATAGTCAAATGAAATATAAGATACTGAATATAACAAGCAAAGTCTTTATTAATGAATGCCTGTTGTAGTGTGAGCGATGGAGGTCTCACAGTAACACTAAATGATGTCTGAACTTTGAATTTAAATTAAAAATGAGTTGCCTGCTCAGAAAACATTGGTTCTTCAAAAGGCCCTCTGGTTCCTTAAAGTGTTTAGGAGATGGCTGATCACGCACCTGATGTGGAGCTTTAAAGTCCTAAAGGTTCCTCATTTTATGGAAGTTATTTGTTGGAAGGTGACGGCATGAAACAAGAACCGCAATTCATTTTTACTCTTGTCAGATCATTTGCATGATTAAACAGAAGAAAACTGTGAGAAATGGTCCATCATAGTTCAGAACCAAATATAATAAATGGGTTCTAATGAAAGATCCAGAAATGATGCAAATTCTTACGCTGACTGTTTTTACACAAAAGTTCTTAAAATCAAAGTCAGATGCGTTTTAGTGTTTCTTGATTTTTAGTTTAAAGAAGCAGAAGAGAGCTTTACAACAGTCTGACTCTCACAGTGAGCTGAAGTGAACATCCATCCATCATCTCTACATCTTAACCCTCACTAGAGGGGCTGGAGTCTATCCCAGCTGACTCAGGGTGAAGGCAGGTTCACCTGGACAGGTAACCAGTCTATCACAGGGCTACACTTAGAGACAGACAACCAAGCACACTCACATTCACACCTACGGACAATTTACAATCACCAATTAACCTCAGCATGTTTCTGGACTGTGGGAGGAAGCTGGAGAACCCGGAGAGAACCCACGCTGCACGGGGAGAACATGGAGACTCCACGCAGAAAGATCCCGCGAACTGGCGACCTTCTAGCTGCGAGGCAACGATGCTAACCACAGCGCCACCTGGCAGCCCACAAGTGAACATAAATGAGGTAAATAACATGAAAGAAATGCTCTGTTTTTAAATGTTGTGCACAGGTTGAGCACTGAACTGCATTTTCACTTCTCGTATTCGGTGTGGGAGCTCACTGGTTTCAGTTTCAATGGGAGGGACTCACATGCACACACAGCTGGAACAACTGGCAAAATACACAACAGACAATCCCAGATGACAACACAAACACAGAGGGAGGATGCATGAGTCTGCAGTGTATTCACAGAGCAGGTAGTTGTTTGCTTTTATACTGATGTTATATTTATGCTGAAAGTCTTGCATATCGCATCTTTAAGATAATATTTCCTCCAACATCTGCATTTTTCTTGGGCTTTCAGGTATTTCAATGAGAAATAGTTTGAAATTCTGTAGAAAGAAAGCTGTTATACTAGCATTAGGTCCAGTTTTATGACCCCAAACTCCTCACTGACGGCTGAAATTCGCACCACATGGTTTTAAATTGAGTTGTTGTGATGACACGTTTTTGTTTGTAGAAAATCACACATTCCCAAGTTTGTTAAAATTCTACATACGAGCTTTAGCGTAGAGCAAAAATATTGACAGTAAAATACTCGCAGGTTTCCTCCGGCTCCTCTTTTTAAAGGCTCCTTGTCCAAACTTGTGTACTGAAGAGCGCCCCCTGGTGTTCAGGAAACCTCCACTCAGCTCTGCAGGCCTGAAGCTGCCGGGAGGAGCTTCTCGTCTTCACCACTCATCCTTTACCGTAAAGCCAACCTCAGCCGACACGGCCATCCTCAGCTTCTCGCTCTTCTGGCCTCGGTGCCACATTCCTCACCTGGACCACAGTCCTGCCTCCTGACCCGGGATCAGAGGAGGTGGAGGAGGGAGGCTCGGCCGGAGGGCCAATGGCAGAGCAGGCAGACTGCAAACTAAATATTTGGGATCCGAGGATCCATCGAGGAGATCATGAAGCTGGCTTTAGTGATTGTGAGAAACTTTATGGAGAACTTCAGGAGTTTGGCATAAATGTTACGTCTGAACTCAAAGTTTACATCTAAAAGTCTAAAAATCTTTAAAATATATATATATTGTTTGTTTTTGTTTACAAGTTATTGATGCAGCACATTTAAAGCAGCAGCAAGTAGAAAAGGATAAATAAAGAAAACCTCTAGTCTCTTATTCAGTAATGTTATATATGTTTTAATTATTAATATTTTAGATTCTTATTATTTAGTTTGTCATTTGGAGATGTTAACTACATGTATAGTTATATGTTTTTACTTTGTAATAATATTAGTATTTAATCACGTATTTAGTTATACACATTTATTTTATGTTTCTATTATTATTTAGTCTCTTATTTCGTCATGCTTTATACTTTATATATATATTATTTTTTGTTATTATTTAGTCTCTTATTTAGTTATGTTATGTATTACTAATTGGTGTCTGAGTGAACCATTTTATATACACATATTTTAAAATTTATATTATTATTTAGCCTCTTACTTTGTCATGCTTTATACATTTATATAATTTATTATTAAATTATTTTTAGTCTCTTATTTACATGTTTTTTTTAAATTTTGCACGATTATTATTTAGTTTAGTTATTTAATTCTATATTTTTTATTTAACAGTAATAATGTGTCTCTTATTGAATCATATTTATATGCATATTATTGTTATTTAATTTCTTATTAATGTGTTATGTACATGTATAAATACATTTTTATTTTGTATTATTATTATTTAAACTCTTATTTCATCTTCTAAATACTTTTTTTTACTTTCTTATTCAGCCATGTGTACATTTTGTGATGTTATATTCATGAATATAAATGATTATTGTTATAAGCAGTAGTAGTGTTTGTTTGTTTGTTTGTTTCTTTGTGTATTTGTTTGTTTTATTTAGTTTATTTTAATTGTTTGTTTATTCTTTTCACATCACTGATGACCTGCTGAGCTCTGGACCGTCTGGGCTTTGTGGGAAGTGAAGGATTTACACGTCGTGTTCAGCACCAGACATCAAACCTCAGAGCGTCTGAGGGTGTCGACGCTCTGAGCCGCCTGCTGACCTGCTGAGGTCTGAGGTGTTGAGCAGCAGCCTGTCTGGTCCTACAGCGCCGCAGGAGGCCCGCTGACGCAGCGCTCTATAAATACGTCTGAACCCAGTCTGTGGAGCTGCTCTGTTGGTTTTTACCGTCGCTCTGCTCGGCTGGACGGTGCAGGATCAGGCCTCCAGAAGGAGCTTCTTGTTCTCCGGCTGCAGCCTCTGGAGAGAGTTGGACGGTCCGGAGCTCTGACCCAGGAGCCCAGAGGTCACCTCCACCTGGAGCCATGCAGGGTTCTGCTGTGGTTCTGCTGCTGCTGCTGAGCTACGTAAGTCTGACTGGATCACAGAACTTCTCTTATTGTGGAAATGTTCCAGGTGGAAATTCTCTAAACTTGCTGACAGCTTGAGGTAGAAGCAGAAACACAGACTGTTCCTGTTCAGGTTTTGAAAGTCTGGATTGAAAGTAGGCTTTGAAAAAAGAACTAAATACTGTAAACACAAACACACAAAAAAAAGAAAATGTGGCACCAAGGACGCCACAAAAAATAGGTTAAAAATGGAGGAATGTGGTAATGCTCAAAAACTGCTCAAAACTGTGCAAATTATGGCAAATACCTGCAAAATAATGATGTTTTTTGTTGATTAAAATACAGAAAACCAGCAAAACACAACAGCTACAAAAGATATTTAGCTTTTCTGATCTGTCATTAATCAATATTTGGATCATAACAGTATTTTTTATTTTTTTGGCAGATATGGATATTGTAATATAACATTGGAAATATTTATTTACCATTTTTAATTCCATAATTTTTTAATGAATGAATGAATGAAAAATATTTTATTTATCCCAGAAGGGAAATTCAATAATATCTGTAAAATAATGTAAATATTTATTTTTGCTGTTTTAAATGCAGTAAAAATAGTTTAATTTTATGGTCATGTGTTAGAAAAGAAAAAAACATCTGATATCTAAAATTTAGCAAAACAGGAAAAATCTCTAATATATCAAGATACCAAGTTAAAGAAATATTTTCAATAAAGAAAATTATTTTTATTGATTTAAATATAGTAAATGAGTGAAACTGCACCATCAACCCTTGTAAAAGAAGGAATTACCGTCTGTAAAATTACAGATTCATGGATGTTAGTCACAGTTTAGACCAGTTTTTTCTCTGGTTAACATGTAAATAAAAACTTTTTTCTGTGATTTTACAAGTTGTTATCTGTAATTTTACAATATATTGAAAATCTGTAAGAAAACAAGAAACTACTTTTAAAAACTATTTAAAAACTTTTTTATTTTATGATGTTATTTACATTTTTTTCCAATTACTAATGCAGAAATATTCTCTAAAACACACTGCATTGTTTTCAACCAGCTTTCATCTTTTTAGGTTTCTTTCTATAAATGCAGGCATTAAATGACCTGTGCATCATGTGGGTATCTGACATTGTCAGCTTTTGTTTGTGTGTTTGTTTGTTTTTTACATCTGATCTGCACATGAGAGGAGGAGAGACGGTGGAAGATTTTCATTTCAGCCACAGCAGATATTTGAGTCTCTGCAGAATTTAAACTTGTTGGTTCGACCTTCACGTTGTTCATAAAAGAACGAGCACGAAGCCTGACGGTGAAATAAATAAATGTTTACTGAAAGCTGAGAGCTGTTTGGTTCCCTGAACGTTCTTCTCTCTGCATGAAAAGAACTGAAACAAAGAGAAGAAGCAGAATTTGATCAGCAGCACAGACACAACTGCAGCTCTGATGATCCATTTGGGTTTTTTAAATCCCCATATGTGGTGAACGTCTGTATCACTGATGCACGGCAGCAGAACTTTGACGTCTATACTTGTAAATGAATCTCTTTTTGCAGCTACATTTTAAGAACTTGCTTTACTTTGAGGAACAGAATGCAAGTCTGCTGGATGTAAATATGAAGTTTTAGGTGTTTACAGTTAATTAATCCCATAATGTATTGATGAGTTTGTGTTTGTGGTGCGTTCAGGGCTCCGTCCAGCAGTTCTCATCGGCCGAGCAGCAGCAGTGTGGAAATAACAGCAGCACGTGTTCAGCTCAGGTACAAACACTCACCTGAATTTAACAAACGAGCTTCATTTATGTATTTTTTCCACTTTAACTCCAAAATAAGTGTCTTAAAAAGCAGAGCAGGTAATCAATCAGGACTCAGATTGGTGGTTTCTGCTCTTGTGCTCAACAGAAATCGTGTTTTTTGGTTGTTTTTTGTGTCTAAACGTTCTTTTCTCTGAACCAGCTGTGGTGGTTTAGAGGGTTTTTAAAGCAGCCGGCGCTTCTAAGATGGAAAATGATTTGCAGTGTACAAAAGAAGTGAAAGTAGATCCTCCAAACTTGTTATTTTTTTTGCTTTCTTGTCCGGTGATGTGAAAAAACCAGTCTGTTCAGAAAAGCAAACATTCCCAAAGAGAAGCGCTTCAGGCGAACTCGCACACAAGTATAACGCGCAGCTGGCCTCCAAAACAAATAAAAACTTTATGAAGTCAGACAAACGCTGGCTGTGCAACTTCACACAGACTCTATGAGATCTGAGATCAATACCAGCCTTTGTCACGGCTAGTTTTGATTATTACAAAGAGAAACAACCTGAACTCAGTTTAATTTTTCTGTTTTCTCTGAGAGTCTCTGTGAGTTTGAACTTTCTAACAATGCATCCTGGGAAGTTTTCTTTAAATCTTTATTGCTTAAAAGCAATATTATTCAGCTCATCGTCTGAAGTCAAAATGATGTTTTGAAGTTTTAAAGTGGTCTGAAAATAACATCAGTTCACTACAAATCAGCAAAACTTCATGCAGCTATTTTGAGTAAACAAACAAAGATGAGCTGATTGGATGGATGGATGGATGGATGGATGGATGGATGGATGGATGGATGGATGATGGATGGATGGATGGATGGATGGATGGATGGATGGATGGATGGATGGATGGATGGATGGATGGATGGATGGATGGATGATGGATGGATGGAAGGATGGATGGAGGGATGGATGGATGGATGGACGGACGGACGGACGGATATATGGATTAATGATGGATGGATGGATGATGGATGGATGGATGGATGGATGGATGGATGATGGATGGATGGAAGGATGGATGGAGGGATGGATGGATGGACGGACGGACGGACGGACAGAAGGATGGATGGATGGATGGATGGATGGATGGATGAATGGCAGATGGATGGATGGATGGATGGATGGATGATGGACAGATGGATGATGGACAGATGGATGGATGGATGGATGGATGGATAGATAGATAGATGATTATTGTAGAACGGAGGGATTCTGGAGGAGGACAGTTACAACAAACTCCGTATTTACTGATAAAACCTTAGAAGAATCTAACTGTGCTAAACTCTCCCAGCAGGTCGAATCTGCAGATACGTTTCAGCCGACTCTGCCGACCAGTCGCTCTGAAGTGACTCCAGGGTTGGATCCGGTGAGCAGACCTCCCTCTTCAGAGTCAAATCCTGCTCCGACTGTACATGACGGAGACTCTGAGGCTGCACTGGAGATCCAGAATGGTACGACAACTGAAAGCTCAACAGAAAAGGAAAAAGACAAACCAAAGACGAGCCCAACTTCCCTCCCCGACTCACTGGAGTCGATGGAAGAACCACGGAGCTCAGAGAGCAGCATCACAACCAGAACTCCTTCCGTCCAACAACTCAAGAAGGACTCCTCGATAAATATCTTGGACGGTGCTGAAACGACCATTTCTAGTCCGTCCATCCATCCTGAGGACCCCACAGCTCCGGGTTTCTCATCAGAAATCACCACCTCTGATTGGCCACAGTTTGCTGAAACATCTGCTGTCATGTCAGACTCCACCACAGCATCAGGGCTCGTTGCTTCCAGCGTTCTTCCTCCATCACCATCAGCAGTGACTCCTCCAGTTTCCTCATTTAAAATCTATAAAACAGCAACGACAGAAGCCACAAACCCGACTGTTTTACCTCCAACACCACAAACCGAAGAAGCTCCAAACAGCAGCGACACGAAGAGCAAGATGAGAAATGTTTCAACTAGCGAGATTAAAGAAAAAGAGGAAACAGCTTCACCTGAAACAGCACCACTTCCTGGTGGAGGACGAGGAAGTGGGACTGATGTGGAGGAAGAGAAGGAAGAAATCAGACATGCAGAGATGGAAAGAGAAAGTGAAGACGAGTTGTCCAACCGAAGACCAGGAATCAGAGGTCAACAGGTACGAAACTAAACTGGATTTAATCTTTATAAGCTCTTTAAGTTTCCTCATAGTGATTTAAAACCATGTCAGTGATGTCATATCTACATAAACACACCACACGGGACGGCTTTATGACATCTGTGTCATACTCTCATGTCGTTTTCTGCCGTGACCTTGGATGAAATGGAGTTAGCGTGACTCTGATTTGATGTACATCTGTGACAGTTTTCTAGAAAACCGAGCGAGTCTAGAGAAAAGGGTTTAAATGAAAGGCTTTGTCTCCCTCTGGTGGCCAAACTGTGGAACTGGACCCCTCAGATTCTGGCTAAAGTCTGTAAACACTCAAAAAAATGATGTTTGGACTCTCCGACTTCACTCTTGCTGACTGACTGGTGCCATAAACTGGTTTTTAAGTCGATTGCTCGTTAAAATTAAGCACCAACTTGCATTTTTACATTATTTAAAGGAAAATTTCTTAACTGGATAATTAGATGATTTCCACTGACTTGAAACCAAAAGACGAGTAAATAATGATAATAAACATCTGTCTAAGCAGATTTGTAAATGAAACTTCTCGTTTCTATCCCGTTTTGCTAAACCAAAGAGCAGGAGGTCCAGATGTTTCGGCTGAATACGACCAACATGCAGCAGAACAACAGATTCCATCGACTGTAACAGAAAATTCATTACATCAGTAGAATTTGTTTGTAAAATAAGGAACAAAACTCACCTTAAAATATCCTTTTTCTTCAGCCTCTGACAGTCTTAAACTGTTCTGGTGTGTTCAGTGGGTAGAGGAGGAGACTTTAAATCCAGGTTCAAAATAAATTAAATCTTTTCAGAATCAGACAATCAAACGAAGAACCTGCCTGCGGCGGTGAATCGCAGCTCTCTGCATGAGAAAAAAGGAAATAAAGCAAAACAACAAGAGTCAGAGCAGGGAGTAGGAAGATTTATTTCATTATTTCATGACGTTAACACTCAGAGTTTAGTTTTAAACTGACTAATGCAGAAATCTGAGTTTAAATTAAACACAATGTTAGATGGAAGCAACATTATTATGTCAGAAAATAAAGTTTGCAGCTTAAAAGGTTGATTTAGATCAGTTTTTTGCATTTAATTAAGTAGTGCTAACAGGTCTATTAAATGACTTTTTCACAGTGTATTTAACTTTCATTCATTTCCACCACAAACATACATTTAATCAATCAGATATAAATCCCTAAAATATCCACATTCCTGCTCCTGCATTGTCTCCACATTGTTAAATGTTCTCACTTCTTCGTCATTAATAAATCTTGCTTGAATACATCCAGCTATTATTTCCCAGATCATCTAAATGTTCTGCTTCACTGTCTCTCCAGGGTCTGCAAGGTTTACCAGGACTACCAGGACCACCAGGACCGAAAGGAGACAAAGTACGTAAGAAAATAAACCTGCAGACGGATGTTTTACCAAAATCTGCAGCTTAAAGAAGACTTCCTGTGTGAAAATGTGTATATGTCTGTGTTTGATGCATCAACTCAGATGGAAAAACAGGAATTATTTGCTAAGTTTGCTCCCATCCAGATAATTTCTGTCCCAAATAGTGTTTTTTGTTTCTGTTTTCCTGTAAACTTCTGTACATTTAATTTAACTCAGTAGAAAACCAGTCGCTAAACCAGGCTCTCAACCTTTATTTATTTAGTAACGTCTCCAATATTGTGCAAAAGAATTTCAGAATTTAAAACCAAAAAGCTAAAATCTTACAATTTCTTCGTATGTTTTTTATTTGTTAGTGCAGAAAAAACTAAAACAAAGCCTCAAACTGTCAGACTTGTTAATTCTTTAATTATGAAACATACAAAACTGTTTAAATCCTACACATGCTGAGTGTCCACAATTAAAATAAAACTAAGTTTAAATAATAAAAATACAAAACAGAGCATGAAAAGAACCCCCCATGAACCCCGTCCAGTAACCTCTTCGCTAAATTGAGTTGTTCAAGGTTCCTCCAGGGTTCCTTAAATACCCCACAGTTCCATGAGGTTCTCCTCATTCTAAAAGAGCACCTTAAGCTGTGGTGACATTTAAAGAAAAAAAATGAGTTTTTACTGCAGTTTTTTCATATTTTAGTGCATTTTTTCTCCTGGTGGTCAGAATATCTTGAAGCATCTTTGATTTATTCTGAATCCAAATCCTTCTTCCTGTCAGCGCTGGTCCAGAGGTTGATGCTGTGATCTTAAACCCGTTTCCCACATCAGACTAATTCACTGTGTTCTTCTGTCTCAGGGTTATCAGGGCGTGATGGGTCGGACCGGTCAGACCGGGTACAGAGGTCCCATCGGGCCTCCTGGGATGCCGGCCATCGTCGTGTTCAAAACCTCAGAAGAAGAGTGGGAGGCGTTCAAGGTAAACCGACAAACCGCCTCCTGGGCTGTTATTTAGATGTGTGACAGTGGATTTGATCTAATAATGTGATTGTTGGATGGGAGGTGATGGAGTGAAACACTAGAAGTTAGAAGCTGAGACCAACCAGACGTTGTTTCTCTAGTTACTGTTTTATAACTGTTTACATGTATTTTAGTGTTTTAAGGTGTTTCCACATCCTGAAATCTGCCACTTTAAATTTATGACATTTCACTGTTTTCTACATGTAGCTGAATCCTGTGCAATATTGTTGTTTTATACATTCAGAAGCATCTTTGCAGCATCTGTATTTTTCTAAAAATACAAGAACTCTTTGCAGTATTAATATTTCCAGTGTGTCATATGTGCAGCTAATGTCTGTTTCATTATTACTATGATCATGTTGTGTATTGTGTTGTCTGTTGATTTATATTTTTTAACCAACGTCTCGACACCTTTGCTGCTGTAAGACTGCAGCGCCTCTGTGATCTTTATCTTAGCTTAGCTCAACTTAGCATAGCTTAGCTTTTCTCAGCTTAGCTTGCTGTAGTTTAGCTTATCTTAGCTCAGCTTATCTTAACTTTTCTTAGCTTAGCTTTTTTTAGTTTAGCATATCTTATTTTATTTTAGCTTTTGTTAGCTTAGCTTGTTTTAGTTTAGTTTAGCTTTGCTTTTCTTAGCTTAGCTTGTTTTAGTTTAGCTTAGCTTATCTTAGCTTAGTTTTTCATGGCTTAACTTGTTTTAGTTTATCTTATCTTATCTTTTCTTAGTTTAGCTTGTTTTAGTTTAGCATATCTTATCTTATCTTAGCTTTTGTTAGCTTAGCTTGTTTTAGTTTAGCTTAACTCAGCTTTTCTTTTGGATTACCTTGATTTATTTTAACTTTAGCTTAGCTTAGCTTAGCTTAGCTTAACTTAAATACGTGTTTTTAGCCCATAGTTTTTATGCTTGGATCCTTGACTTGAATGTTTTTTTTTTTATTAATGCAAATCTGCTCACAGAAGGTTATTTATTAATAAAGTAAGTCAGCAAAATATTGGAAAAGGAAAATATTCTCCTTTATTTCTTTGCAGAAAAAGAAAATCTACAAAAAGCTGGTGTCTTCCTGGCCGGTAGGTTTGTCTTTTAATATCTCTTTAAATCCATTTTTATGTAAAGTTTTTGCTAATGTTTGTTTTTTATGAGAAGCTGCTTGCCTACATAAATGACAACATAAAGATGCTTTTTTTAACTTCCAGAAGCGTAAAGGGCCTCCGGGGCCTCCAGGACCTCCTGGAGATGGCGGCCCGGATGTAAGTAGACGTCAAAGACGACCTGAAAATGAAATTTAAACCATCTACAAGCTGATCATGTTACGTAGAGAGATTATACATGAACTCCAGCAGCTACGTTTGTTGTTCAGGGGCCACCAGGAGTTACTGGAAAACAAGGACGGAAAGGAGCTGAAGGGAAAACTGTAGGTAGAACTCTCCTACAGCTTCACTCATCACATTATTAAATATTATAAAACACATTGAGCTTCTTACATCAGTCTCCTCGTCACTAAAACTCCACATTGAACTCATAATTTTAATAATTCACTGAATAAATGGAGATGCAGCGCCGAGTAAAAGAAGGTGACAGTGTTGTAATATAGAACTAAAGAAAGGAAGAAGAATTAATTGAGTTAATTGGGTGTATTATGGTGTTTTTATGGTGCATTAAGTAACTGATGTGAGGACTTTGGATGTTTGTTCAGGTGTTTCCCTGGTTGCTGGTTGCTGGTTGCTGGTTGCTCTCAGCTGTTGCCTTGTGAACAACTGGTTGCTTGAGACTGTAGCTGTGAGATTATCTGATGTCTCGGGTGTTATTATGGGATTCTGGTGGCTGACGTGTGTTTACTCAAGAAAAAACGATAATTATATGTTATTCTACAACATCTTATGAGTCAAGGCTGTGTGTCACATTTAATGTGGTGCTTCAGGGCGGTTCTGGACCACGAGGCCCGCCGGGTCCACAGGGCCGACCAGGAAGAGACGGGACCCCAGGACACGGTGCTGACCCAGGACCCCCAGGCCCACCTGGAGAACAGGTAAATAAACAGACAGACAGGTAAATGATGAACGTATTGTGATGGGTGTGATGATGTCAAATTGGCCTGACAGACATCATTTCATCCAGTTTCCACTCATTCACTGTAGAAAGTCCAGAAAATATGAATAAAATTACAAAAAAATGCTCTGAATTTACAAAACTGATGCAAAAAATAATATAAACTAATGAGAATTATATATTTTTTAATGCACAGTTGTTTGCAAAAACTACTTTTATTTAATGCAAAAGTAATTCCACTCATTTTTAAAATAGTTTTTGAGCATTAAAAATCTGCCAAATATACACTTTTTTAAAAGATAGGTGTCAATGCTCATATTGTCCTTGACGTGATTTATAATTTATTGTTGTTTAAAGCAGAAGTGTTTGTTTATTAACTGCGGTTTGACTTTTTTTTTAACGGTAGATCCATCAAATTTAGAGGCGAACGCACTTTTTAACACTAAAGATCTTTAAAAAAATTTTTTTGTAAACTTACATATAAAAACGCATTCTACACTTAACATTAGATTTCTGCAATTTAAAATAAATTACTAACAGTATTTTTAATATTTTAATGTTTTTTTTATATATATAAATATAAAATTCTGTCATAAAACCAACTAACAATGGCAGTTCTCTGCACTATTCAGTCTGATTATTTGTATTATTATTGAACCATATTTGTAAATAGTTTGTTTTAATTTTTTTGCATGTAAATTTTCTTTATTTACCATTAAAAGTAAAACACATCATGTAAATTTAAGGCTAGAAATTGTATTTCAACTACAGAAAATTACAGGGTTTTTTTTTAAAAGTTTTTTGTGAGTTGTTTTAGGAGATGTTGATTTTTCATTATTTTATTTATTGTTTTTTGTTCCCCAGCTGACAGATTTTTACCGTTTTAATGCTGTGCAGCTAAATGAATTCACTTTATTCTCGTCTCTACAGGGTCCTCAAGGCTACAGAGGGGAGAAGGGCAGTAAAGGGGAGCTGGGTGAGTGGGTAAGAGTGGCCTGGACTTCTAATGTTATACGGATCAGAACTTAAGCTCTGAACAACATGCTGGACGTCCGTCAGTCTCAGTGTTACACATACGTTTTTATTCGCACATATCCAGACGTCTAACTGGTCGCAGTGGGTTTACAGGAGTGTGTCGTCCGGTTCCTTCACTAAGTCTTCAGACACCCTTGTGTTCTGTTTTTTTAGGGGTATCAGGGCGAAGCTGGACCGCAGGGAAACCGGGGACAGAAAGGACACAAGGTCAGACTAAACATCCACACAGCTGTTTATGAAGGAGGATTTATGAGATTATAATCTGTGTTTCTTGCTCTGATCAGGGGAACAAAGGAGTCCGAAGTTTTGTCGGGCTTCCTGGATACAGAGTAAGAACAGATCACGTCGTTTATTTTACTTTACCTGTAATGTGCATTTTTATTACTTTTTATTGTCCTGAAATCGACATGTTGTTGTGTATCGATGCTGATTAATGTTTACTGACGACCAAACTGGTCTGTGTTTGAAGGGGATTCCAGGATCGAGGGGTCCTTCTGGTTTTCCAGGACCATCAGGACCGCTGGTCAGTTTAACACACAGCTCACACTTACCTACAGCTGGATTAATAAATATTAATTGAGCACATTTTCCCTTAAAATACAGCGTTGTTGCAGTAGTTTTACAGTGTTAGAATTGAAATTCACTTTAACAATTCCTTGATTATAGCGCTCTGCAGAATAATGTGAGATACATTATGATGTAATACTGTTTATTAACAATAATAATATTTATCATGCAAATAGTAGTGATATACTGTATTTATAGCATCTTTATAGCA